AGAGACCTGTTATCAGAGACAGCGAGCCCTCGAGTCAAAATACTGCAGCACAAAACCAAGGCAATTATCGTTTCTAAAAAGTCTTACAAATTAAGTCAAACCACTTAAAACATTAAAAGTATGCAACTTACTTTCCCTCGATACTTTTCCAGCGAGGCAGCTCTGCCTCTCGCGTCCTTCACTTCAAATGAGTAGAAATCTTTGGCTTTTCGCGACTTTGACAGTTTACTCTGCAGCAGATACAGTGAGCCCATGCACACGGCCACACTCAGTAAAACCTTGAACAGTCCTGCTTTAGAAGCAGATGATTTGGTGGGGTATCCCCCAAGCGCCTCCATGATGGAGGATAAATATGTGGAGAAATCTGGGAGAAAAACTTCAAACATGGCTTTCTTTTGCTGGCTAGAAAGTGGGCGTGTCGAAATGAAAGGGGCGTATCAGAAAGTTATTCGGTAGGAAGGGTCAGCTCAGCACCTTAAATTTGCATTAATTCATATAATATTGTCTACCGTGTAAATTCGTAATTTCTACTCTTTTATTTTAAGACCTTTGTACATATTAAAATAGCATGAAAAACGGTCAAAATGTAGTTTTTCACATACAAAATAAAATTTATTTCCAGTATGCACACAGTACAATGTTTGGAGTCGTACATTAACACCATAGCAGATGTTTCCCTAAAGACGATTGACCACAGTCATCCCGGAGGACGGCAGCTCCTGATCCAGCAGGCGGAAGAGCATGGCGTATTTGTTGCGTTGAGAGACGTTGCCGAGAGTGTGATGCAAGCGTGCCTGTAGATAATGTATGTCTCTCATACGCTCTTTACAGTCAAGACGAGAGAAATACACAGCTGCCTCCTCTAAAGTGTGCACGGCTTGTTCCAGTGCTGTAGGACAAAAACATAAATCACTTAAACGTATGAAGTATGACTTGAATACAGTGAGATGGGTGTCAAACAGGACTCGGGCAGTACCAGTTAGTCTGTTTTTCTGAGCAGTAGTTCCTGCTAAAGTCATCTGGCAGCGAGCGGCCAATAGCAGAGCTCTGCCCTTGTCCATCAGAGAACCGTGAGCCAAAACGGACTCCAACACGTCCTGCACCAGTGCAAGAGCCTGCTCGGGAATCCCCAACATCAGCTATGAAGAGAGATGATCAATATCAGACACTCCTAGTTGAAAATTACACAATTTCTTCATCTTTAATCTAACAAACACACAGGTATAGTTAAAAAAAAACACAAGTCAAATCTTAAGTGAAATCATGGAACCGGGAGGTGTTTTGTTAGCATTTGTCAGTCATTATCAGGTGTCTGAACACAAACTGTGAAGGTTCTTGTTGGTGTACCTGTGTAAATGCCAGGTGTAACACTGTCTCTGAGGTCAAGCTCTGCAGGTTGTGTTGGCGTGACAGAGCAAGAGCCTGTAAGAGTAATGGCAGACCTGATGCAAATCCAGAAGAGTCCCAGTGGAGTTCAGCAGAGGCCAGCATCACCCTGCCACACAAATACAATGCAGAGTTAAAAACTGACACGGGAACACTGCCGTTCCAAAAAGATTTCAATTATCCACCTTATTCTGCTCTAAACAATGGGCGCCGCCATGACAACGACTCCGGTTGTCAACTTCCGGTTCGAGTCTAGTCTATGCTTTTTTGCCGTGTTAGATTGTGTCATCCTCACATCGCTAAACTAAATTGAAAAAAACATTCATCAAATGTGATCTGATCACGTTATTTTTTTATTAAATCACAGATAAAAAAAAAAAAAATGAACGTTTTTCTTTTCTTCATAACTTCCAAAGGATAGCTGATGCATGACTGCACGATCTCCCAAATCCAGCAAACATCCGACAGTTTCTATCACTCCGACTGCAGAACAGTACTAACAGGTTAGCCCTTTACTCCTGTCTACCCCTGCTTTCAAAGATGCATAGTCTATATATTTCTCAGGGCTGTGAGGTTAGGCATAACGTTACACCGAGTTTCAGACCAAAGTCCAGTTTGCGCGCTGTCGCGGTCGCCTCTGTCATGATCATCTATTGTTTATATACCTCTTATTTATTAAAACCAGTCAATTGGTTGATGAAACATTAGTTTAAATTAAGATTCAAATAATAAAAAAAACGAAATTCACTTTAAAGAAAGGTTTCTTTGTGGTTTCTCTTTAAAATCTCGGTGAAAGTTTTAAAGTGGCTTTAATAACGGTCATGTCCGTGAATATAAAACGCATGTGTAAACTGATATTTTTCTAATGTCTGGACCACTGGTCTATATAATATATCATTGTATATAGATGAGTGGTCTGGACTAGAGTGCTAGCATTCTATTTAAACAATACTTCAACGGTCAGTTTAGTCAGTTGAAACCGCAATGAATCATGGGAAATAGAATGGGCGCAGAATAAGGTGGATAGACTTAAAAAATGTGGGGTCTTTTTTAAAGCAAAAAAAAAAAAAATGCTTCTCCATCTCCATCCCTCAAAATGGTGTCCTTATTATTTTTATGCATGAAATAATTGTTCATGTGGGTTTTTACTTTTTTATTTCCTGTTGTTAGAAGAGTGGGCCTTAACTCTAGCTATGTGCACACCCTGGGAGGTGGGGAAATGCTGAACACAGTACAATGCTGAATATTGATTGTTTTTAAACTCTTTGTCTTAACTATCATTGAGGGAATTTGCTGAAATGTTTAGAGAAACAAGAGTTAGTTTTAATGAAAATGGTATGTTCCAATTAACTAAAGGTAAGAAAATTATGCATTTAAGGGTGATCAGAAGTGACCTCAACAGTGCTAGTTTTTAGACTGTTTTTGTAACCTTTGTTTTTTATTCTTGCACTTAACCACTGTTTAAAGCCTTTAAAGCATTAAACTTCTTTTGGAACTATCTTTAAACGGATGCCTGGTGTGATTCTCCTTGTGACCGCTCGGGTCTCTATCACAAACCGTTTTGAATTTTAATATACTTAATAAATCGAACGAAGTTTTCAGCAGCCAGTAAAAGTGCAAGTCAATTTTGTCAATCATCACTTTTTTCCAGTTTTCAATTAGATCTTGAATCCCAGATTTCCAATGGGACTTTTCTTTTCATGAAGACATACCTGATGATCATCTCTGTGTTCTTAGTCTTCTCACACTGCTGCTGCAGCTGCTGTAGAATCTTCGAGGCTTCAGACGTCTGATTCAGAGCCTTCAGCAACTGGGCTTTCCTGAGCAGACAAGGACAGTAACAATCACTCGTACAGCCCAACCTACTAAAAAAACGTATTATATGTGCCGTTATCTACCTGTACAATCCCTCAGTGCTGTTTAAGGCAGAGATAGCAGTGACATGAGGTTCAGCCAAATGGTATTTCCCATCATTCATAGCCTTTTCAAATTGAATTTTCAGATCGCATAGCATCCAGAGCTGTTAAAAAGAGAAAGAGAGAAAGAAATCATATAGCTGTTGCTGATTTGTGCTTGATGAAGCCTATATTTTGTTCAGCAGTACTTTGGCATGTTGGGTATGGGGAGGAAACTGCTGCTTCAAATGTTTCATGATGTCAGTCACAACAGCATAATGGCCCTGAAGACGGAAAAAAAAAGAATCACTGGAACTGGAAAACATGCTAATTTAGCATTCAATACATGAAATCAAGCGTATGCACCAAGAAGCATTTGTGTTCATGTACTTGTGAGGTCGGTCAGGTACCTGCTCAGCATGGAGTTCAGACAGATGGCAGAGAGCGACGGCAAAGGCCTCAGTGTTGTTCTGCTGCACGCTAAAGTTCACCGGCTCCAAACTGTTCATATTCAACAGGAGCTGAGCCTGCTGCCGTGCCATAGTGCTAAAGAAAACGCAAAAAATCTGCTTTAACAACATAAAAACCTGCATAACTGTAGGAGATGTAGCACTAACATCAATGCAGAATGGAAGTGTGAGCCCTTACAGTCTGTTTGAAGACATATTATTTACAAACAATTGAAAGAAATTTCATTTCACTTCACAGTTCTCTTAAAGGGGACATATGAAAATCGGACTTTTTCCGTGTTTAAGTGCTATAATCGGGTCCCCGGTGCATCTAAAATTCCTTTAAATTTCATAAAAAAGAAGGTCTCTCTGCGTTATCTGACCTTTTGCCATACATCCTCCATATGGAGGTGGTCTGTGCCAGGCTGATTTCTATCAGCTCAGAGAGGCTTTGCTTCCAGTGCATGATGTCGGTTCCTCGCAGGGCGTCCAGCAGCTTGTTGGCAGGCATGCCCTGTTTTGCTCCCTGCTGGACCAGGGACTGGATGCCTAGAGAAGCTAAATACTGCAAAACACAATGGGGAGCATTAATTATTTATTTAATTGAACAATGACTTTGCAAAAGAGATTAATATGCGCTGAATTAATGTGCCTGATGCCATTTATTATGCCTGGTGGTTATTCAAAGCATTTCCCTATTATAAGGGCATTAAATGGTTCCATCTTAATGAGCTACTTACAGGGAGGCAAAAGTGAGCTGCAATTTTCACAGAGTCTTCTGTTAGTACCACACTATCAGATCCTTTCATCTGTTCTAGTGTGTACAGCCAACTCTAAAATCACAAATTAGAAATAAAATAAGAATACAGCAGACCTATCAACACACTATCATCAAACCTCTCTACGGACACCAGAACCGATTAATCGCTTAAACCGATTAACCCTTGTGAGTTTTTTTTTAAAATTTATTTATTTATAACAGGACAATGTGCAGTTACATTGAAAAGATGGCCGCACCAGATTTAGCACTATGCTAATTTCCATCTGTAGTCCTACACAAATACAAACACATGACAAGATAAAATTACATTACAAAAACAATTAACATATAAAAATCATGTAACAGTGATGGTTATTTAAATACAATATAAAAAGACAATTTACTAGGAAAGTACAGTATACAAAGTTAAAAAAGACAAAAAAAATAAATAAAAATAATAATAATTAAAATAAATAATAATAATAAAAAGTAAAAAGAAATAAAATAAAAATAATAATAATAAAATAAAAAAAATTTTGTTTTCTTTTTCCTTTCAATATTACATACAAAAACACAGTACAATGAAAAAGCCATCCGATGGTACCCACCAGGGTATCATCCAATGGCCAAAACACCCGTCTGGTGCCCTTAGTGTGAACAGGACTGTTGCTCTAAAAACCAGTCTTTAAATGCCCATGAGAAGCTATAAAAATCAGCATTGTTCTTTAGATTGTCTGGTTAAAGGGATAGTTCACCCAAAAATGAACAATCTCTCAGTAATTACTCGCCCTCATTTTGTTCCAAACCGTAAGACTTTCATTCATCTTTGGAACACAAATTAAGATATTTTTGATGAAATCTGAGAGCTGGAACACTCCTCTAGGGTTCTAAGGGATTGAAACTTCTAAGGAACTGAAACTTGTTTTTGTGCGCAAAAAAAACAAAAACAAACAAAAATTACAATTTTATTCAACTATTCATTTTCACAAAAAGTATTTTCGTCACTTGATAAACGTAAGATTGACCCACTGTAGTCACTTGAACTATTTTAACGATGTCTTTAATAACGTTTCTGGTCCGGCAAGTTTCGATCCCTTAGAAGCCTATGGAGGAGTGATCCAGCTTTCAGATTTAACATTTCCAATACCATCTTTAGACAATATTCTAAAGATGGTGGCGCACTTGTTTCTCTGGTGCATAAGGTCTATAAGGTCATGGTATTTTACAAAATGTCCCAACTTTTCTGGAAATGGGTAGATTAGTATTAACTGTTAACTACAAAAAGAATGTTTATACAAACACACACATACACATTATGTTTGTATGTATGAATGTATGCATGTATGTATATATTTATATATTTCAAAATGAGAAAAGTGCATTTCACTGAAAGGTCATAAAGGTAAAGTAGAGTTTGCATATTTTTATGATAATTCTAATAACCTTTGTTATTAAATGTAGGGAGGCAATGAATGAGAGAAACTGCTCTTACCAGACAGTGCTGGAGACACACATGGTCATTTGCTTCCTGTGCGATGCGGATGGCTTCCTGCAGAGCCAGATCAGCCTGTTGACTGCACATACACAACCATAGAAATCAGCTTTAGTCATATAACGACAGTTCAGTTCAGACTAAAAGGCTAAAATTCTGATTTGCAGCAAAAATAAAATGCTCCTGACACAATGTAGTGCTCAAAACACAATCTACTACTAAAACAACTAATACTCACTAGTGTCCAAAACGACAGTGCAAGGTTGCCAGATTAAGGACAGCGTATCGTAAACTGCGCCCATAGCCTTCATCTCCATTGCTTTTCCCTTCGCCACCGGAAAGAATGAGGCGGTCGAAGTAGTGCAGGAGGCTGTGAGTGGAGATGAAGATGTCCTGCACTCGCATACTGTTCATATAGCTGAGGTAATGCTGTGGAGAGACAGAGAGAGGCTCAGTTAAAGTAAAAAGAGATTAATCATCTGTTTCTTGAAAGGAAGGAGTTCAGCTTACAGCTTCAGCAAAGTCAGGATTAAATTTGAGGATGTTGTTGAGCTCGTCCTGTAACTTAGCTGGCGACATGGCCTTGTTCTCATCGTTCTTAAGGAGGTACGCCTGGGGAAAAAACAAGATGGGAATCACACAGGGCAAAAGGAATCTCAGACAGCTGTGTTTATGAAAGCCAAATCTGTTCTAGTTTAACTCAGACAAACCTGTCGTGCAAGGAAGTATTCTGCTTGTTTCTGAGATAGCGGACCTTGGGTCTCATCAGATCTGATGAAAACAGAAAATAACCCCCACAGACTTCCCATTAGTTTCCATGCAGCTTGCCAAAAGTATGACACTATGGAAAAAAAACCCTAAACATTCATGTAAAAACATAAAACATCTATTCTAGTTTGACAGAGACTAAGATATGTGACAAATTGAATTATTTTCCATCTATTTCTATTGTGTTAGGGGTCAATTTTGACCCACATATTTTTATTTGCAAAATTAGCTGAATGGACATAAATAATATTGTGAATTCTTTCTATATTTGCACACTGAGAACTTAGCAAATAACTACTAAGTATAAACAGTACCAACCTAAAATATCTGTACTTAGCGTAAGTAGTAATTATTGCTGTTTGTACTTTGTGAAAACAGTCTCTGGCTATAGACTATAGTTATGTCTGATTCTCAACCCCTTGAGTGTAAAATGGGTTTCTTGCTCTGCTTTTCAGTCCTGCAAGAGTCGAGTGCATGAGATCCAAAAAACCTAACAACATAAACATCCTTTGGCAGATGTTTTGACTGTGAAACTGTGAATGTATTTGAAGAGTTCAGATGCAAAAGCCTCTAAATGCCATCTTTTTTCTTTAATGATGATTTTCATCAAACTTGTATATTTAAGTTCAGTAATTTCACTTAAATAACAATTAATAGGTAATTATCATTGCCATTTAAGTGAAATCACTGAACTTAAATATACAAGCTTGATAAAAAACATCATTTTTTATGATGCTTTTGCAGGCTTTTGCATCTGAACTCTTCATTTCATATTTTAGTCTTTGACCAGTTACAATAAATGGACAGGATACAATACATTTTTAACCTGATTCTTTTCGGGGTTTTTAAAGTGTTGACATTTGATAAATTGCATTTTATCCCTAACACAATTGATGTAACCACAATTTGTATAGCCTTTCCAAAACAGATCCGAATTAAAACTTTGCATGCACACTCAAAGACCTAAATGAGAAATAGTCACAAAATTACAAGAAATAAAGAGTACCAATATGGGTCAAACTGACCCCAACACAATAACCCACCCCTTATTCCACTAATAATACAAGAAACACATGATTCCATCTGACCTCAGTTCGGACTGGTGTAGAGATGTAGTGTCCAGCTCATCTTTGTCTATGCGGTCGGCATTGGGGTCTTCATTGCTGGTCAGCTCCATGTCTTCAGTGGACAGAGCCGACAGCTCCGGCAGGTTTCCACGATGGCAGTACTGCTGCAGGGACTTGTACAGCTTATATACCTGACTGAAGGACAGTTTATTGTAGGCCAGCAGCATCTGACGCATGAACAGACCTACAAACACAAAGAGATTAAGGGTTAAGTTTCACCGATGAATCTGTCTCACATTAATCACAGATATTTTGTATCCCCCAAAATAACCCCTTAACACTATTTTATACTGTTAGAATGTGATCAATGTACTTCAATGGAGAACATGATCTCATCTGACACATTTTTATGATTTATAGAATTAGAATTAATCAGAATTATATGATTCTTCAGAATTATATGATTCGATAAAATGGGTTAATAGGTGGACATATGGTGGAAAGTTTAAAGAAAATTAGTTCTATAGTTCTATATAATATATATGTGTGCCCTGAGCAAGACACTTAACCCCTAGTTGCTTCAGAGGCGTGTGACCTCTGACAAATATAGCAATTGTAAGTCGCTTTGGATAAAAGCGTCAGCTAAATGAATAAATGTAAAAGTATCAGTTGTGTGGACTGTCAATGCAGGGACAGCAATCTCTCGGATTTCATCAAAAATATCCTCATTTGTGTTCCAAAGGTGAATGAAAGTCACACAGACATGAGGCAGAGTAAATGACAGAATTTTAATTTTTGGGTGAACTAACCTTTTAAATTGGACAATATTTGATAGTTATTTTGGTTATGGCCCTGAAAGAAAACACGTATACGTACCGACAACACTAGTTTTGAATGCCTCCGAGTCACTGAATGCATTTGGCAGGATAGTAAAAAAGTGCTCCATGTCCTGCAACTCTCCACCAGCCATTAAAATCAACCTGAAAAACAGAAGGTGTTGATTATATGTACGATTAATATATGAAAACCTACCCAGGTAGAAAAGTTCTTTATAAAGATAAGATGCCTACTGTACCTGACTTTAACAGCATTAACCATGCGAGGACAGCACTCCTCTACTATCTTCACAAACTGCTTTAGAGTCAAATCTGCACCCTGGTCATCACAAACACAAATCAAACATGTGCAGTATGGTTTAATCTAGAAAATGAAATGTCTGAAAACATTACATTCTTTTTTTTAAAGGGACACACAGGGTAGTCATAAACAGCTCTACAAGAAAACAAGCTAACGTTACATACCTGTTGTAAAGGCAGGATGAGTTTGTTCAGGCGTCTTCTGTCTAGAAGTGCCATTGGTTTGGTTGTGGACATCTCATACAGTAAAGCTAACACTGCGATCTTGTATGGAGTGACCCAATCCTTTATACCGAAGATATTGGCATGAACAACCCCATTTGTCATCATGGGGTTGAAATACAGACTTTCATGCACACTGGCCATTGCCCCCCGGTCCTTATATTCCTCAAATTTCAATACAATTAAGAATATCGGTGCAGTAAATATTCTATTTTAATAGAAGAAAAAACAACTATGTGCGTGGTAAGCTAACATTCATTATTTGTGCTAATACGGTAACGTTAAAATATCAACGGTGTTTCAAATGCAGTCATGTCGATTGATAACGTGAAAATCTGTAATCATAACCACTTTGTTTAATGTGTTAGGTTATTAATCAAACATGGACATATTCGAATATATTCACATGGAACATTTGCTGACAATCAGCCGGAGTCTTTTCTTCAAAATACCCTCCAGTTCCGTTTACGTTTCAGGACGCAATGTAGAGCACAGACTAATCGATTTTTTTTTTTTAATGATCAGTTCTTTGTATCGGTTTGTGTGAACAATTCGTGTCAATGAGTCCGTTACGAGTCAGGCGTCTTTGAAAAATATGGTTTTCAGTTCAGTACTCTCGAGACATTTAACCTGATGATGATACATCGAAAAATACATTCAAAATCATCTTTTAGTACGCGCTGCAGAGTGCTGATAAATCGAACAGAGTCATAGACTTTACAGAGTTAATGGTAATTTCAAGGGTTTTCAGCTAATTTTCAATATTCCTGAGACAAATCAGGAATCATTAATCGTTTGATATTTAATCGTTTAATCGTTAAATCAGATGTCCGCAAGTATTATTATTTTTATATATGCATACGGTAGAGGTCGCAAATATTTACATGACATGGTATTAGGGTATTACATTCATACATGAACAAAATCTAAGAATAAATAGTTTATAGGATATTGTGATATTATTGTTTCCAATTAATGTGCTTGTTTATTATGTCCACTGAATTGTTCATTTCTTTTTCACATCTTATATGTTAAATAATATTTTTTCATGGTGTCAGTGGATTTTATCAAGTGATGACTGTGCCAACATTGTTCAAAATACATTTACATTTTTTTACTATTCACAGATATTTCACCAAGATCTAGTTTATAGTTTGACAACACATATAGCGCATGCCACTAAACAACAACCTGAACATAAAGCTTAAAACTACTGATCAATTATGGATTGTCATGTTGGAACAGCAACAGTGACCTGTGACTCAGGTGACACTCATGAATTATTCTGTAACGTTATCTGAGTCAATTAATCTGTTAATAAACATTCCTTAAAATAAGTGTTAATAAGTGTTAAACCACAAGAAATACTTAAACCACTATTTATGTTGCAATATCACTCAATTTGAACTTTCCTCTAATATCATATAATAAATCTGCCCGAAAAAATAATAAGGCTCTAGAATGCAAACTCGTTAGACCGGGGTTAAGCTTTCAAGCTAAAATTACGAAAGTAATTGAAACAAATAATTCCATTACATGAAGTGTAATAAACTACAACATATGATATGAGAAGAAACTCTAATAGAAATGCACAAACTTCCGCTCAATTCGCTGCACTACTGGAGGTACGAGATGATTGGCTGGCTGCTATTGCGTCACAGGATAGCCACCACTGTGATTGGCTGAAAACGTTTAATCACAGTCATACACAGCGATCCTCCTGGTGCGGCTGTAGACAGCGACTGTGGAAAGAAGAGTTAGCCGTTTGTGAGCAATGTTGTTTTGGCTTCCTTTGCGTGCAGCTGGGTGACTTCCCGTGGTGTCTTTGAGCTGCTATGAAGGTACAGTAATTTCTCATAATGCTTGTTTAGTTTTTAAACTTGTTTCTCTGTTGGCTGTGCTGCCTGTGCATCAGGCTAGCAAGAATAATCTGCTACATTTGCTATCAGCTTGATAAGTAACAGCTGATTTTCAGTTTAGCTTTTCATGCACTATTTGTATTGTGTGGTTTTGTGCATTGATGACATCTTTCATGCCTATATATCTCAATCAACATATCTAGCAGTTATATAACGGTGTGTACTAGTGTATTTCAGTGTTCAGTTGTTAGATGCAATGATCAGTAATGTGTTTGTTTGTATAACTCTTCTGTTCTCATGTTTTCTTCATGTTTTCATTTGTTGGGAGGTGAGACCCAGCAACAGGACCGATCCTTCACTGTGTTACACAATGACAATTGGGAGTTGACTGTCCTGTTGGCTCCCTATGAAAATAAAAACACTATGGTTACTCTCTGTTGAGTGTGACTAAGAGCACTAACGTTAGCTGAAGTCAGAAGTCCTTTAAAGCACACTAATCCCTTGTTATGGCTTAGCCCTATTCCCATCCATCTGTAATGAGATTGATCCCTGTCAATGGGAACTATTTCTGGGCAGGACATTCTGAATGGGGAAATAAAGCACAGCAGCTCAGACTTACTTTTGTTATCATCTCACAATGGCAATTTTCTACATGTTAGATGTGTCTTAATTAAGGCTGTCAAAAATAATGTTTTAATTTCTGTGAATAATATTTTCTGATTAACGGGGACATATTATGCAGTTTTAAAACATCTTGATTTTTGTAAAAGGGGTCTGCTAGATTCACGGTTGAATGTTCAAAAATACATTAGTTTTCACATAATTTAAAATGTTGCAGCACCTCTGTTCCCTGTTTTTCAGTAACGTTATGTTTATTTCCGGTCTCCTCCTTGTCGGAAAGCACAATGTGCTCTGATTGGCTTGCTGGACTAATGTGTTGTGATTGGTCATTTGCTTTGAGCATGTTTGTGACTCCCCTCGTGAATTACTGCAAATAACTGCAAATTTCAACACACTTCTACTGCAACTCAACCCAGCCTTTTTTTTTGTAATTTAATGCAAATAACCCAGCATGCATTGCAGTATGTGATCACACTATCTGGATTTCACTCACCAGCTTTGCGAAGCGAGAGAGTGATGACTGAGGACGGTCTGCATGTTGGCGTATCCTATGATCAGCCAATAATTTTATTCAAGTGCTTTTAAATCATTCCAGCATAATAAGACGCGAAAAGGAACCTATTTAGGTACAGCCACACATGAAATATGTAAAAAAAAAAAAAAAAAAAAAAAATCAAAACAGCGCTAGTCTTAATAAAACCTCATAATTTTTCATTTGTTTTTTTTTTTAAAGTCTTTTGTGATTGTTTTCCGTGCAGGCGGGGGCCTCGTCCATGTGGGCATCATGCTGTGGTCTGCTAAATGAAGTGATGGGTACCGGGGCCGTGAGAGGGCAGCAGGCAGGTTTCGGGGCAGGTGCGGGGCCGTTTCGTTTTGCTCCCACTGCAGGATACTCCACATACCCACCTACCAACTCCTCCAACACCAGCCTGGTGTGTCAGTCCTGTAGACAAGCATTCTCTGTCTTTAGGAGAAGGGTAGGTAGACCTGTACACCTGCCATTGCCATACAATCTCATTTGTTCCGCACATAAAATCTAAAAGCATTTATTAGATTAAAGATGCCATGAAATAGCTGCCGAAACAAATTTCTTTTTGATGTTGATGTATTTCGATTTACATCGATGTCGGCTGAGTATTAAACCTATCCTATGCCCTAGCGTGTCTACACATCGACGTCGGCTGAGTACTAATAATTCTAACCAACTTGTTTTCGCTGCGCAGCTTAGATGACAGACAGATAAATCAGTAAATGTCCTTCAGATGCTCTTTATTTTAGCTGGGAGTTTTTGAGGAATCCTCAGAGAATCTTAACTTCAAAGAAGTACACATGTTTTATATGATAATGCCATACACATATAAATAGAATCATCATGACTAATTATTTCATTATGACTGATCATGTCACACTCCATCAATATGATTGGTTACATTGTTTAAAGTCCCCGTGAAATCAAAATTGAACCTATTTACTTTGTTAGCGCATATTACTAGTCTTGTGGTGAACAATTAATCCGTGCAAGTAAAAATATATTTAAAAAATGTTTTACCTTGGTAATCTTTAATCAAAATCTGAAAAGTTACTTCCGGTCTGGAACGGTTTCTTTTTCTGATAACGTAGGTTTCACAACTTGGGTGGGGAAACGCTTAACCACTCCGCTCAAACCGTTAGTTTGTTATGAGCGAGAGATGGAGAGGAGGAGCGCTAGAGTAAAACCCTGCCCTCTGTTCAATATTCCGTTTCACTTGGAAATACGTCACAGCACTGGAGAAAAATCGTTTGCAACTTCCGGTTGATGGGGACTTTAAAGCAAGCCCCATCCCCTCATCATCTTTTGTTACTGACATCAGCAAAAATATCCTATAATATCCTCAAAAAGAGTTTGTAAGGGGTCAACATTTCAGTCAATCACGACTTAATACAGTAAAAGAACAGAACGTTCAGTTCATTTTAAAAGTGACATTGACCAAGGTTACGTTAAGTCAAAAGTTTGTTAGATGGTTAGTTCATATTGAAAGTTCGTCTCATGGCTACATAAAAGGAACTAAGATTTATCTTGTTTTATTGTTAGATCTAGAATGGAAAGTTTAGTCACTTTTAGACTAAGTGGAAGTATGATAGATTTTATCACATGGTAGAAATATAAAATTAGAACTTTATGGTTAGTTAACATAATTCATTGTATCTATTAAAATTTCTACAACAACATGCAAAACAAAATTTAGTGCAGGATACATATAGCTGGTTGGTGCTAATAAGGAAATTCTATGTAGCTTTTGATTGGACACACATTTTTATATTCGTATTCATGCAAGATGAGTCATCAATATTTTTTTACAGATTCTCCCAGAAGACATAGATTGTACATTTTAATATCTACTAAAAACATTATTTGGTGAATTTTAGAAGTAGAGTGGCATATATTCAATTCGACTTTTCTAGACTCAAGGTTATGTTAATCATCCAGCGACAAATACATTTATTAATCAACTTTCTCATTAAAGGGATAGTTCACTAAAAATTGAAAATTCTGTCAGTATTTACTCACCCTCAAGTTGTTCCAAAACCTCTATGTGTTTATTTGTTCTGCTGAACACAAAGGAAGATATTTGGAAGAATGTTTTAATCAAACAGATCTCATTCCCCATTGACTATGTATTTTTTCCTACTATGGTAGTCAATGGGGAATGAGATCTGTTTGATTAAAACATTCTTCCAAATATCTTCCTTTGTGTTCAGCAGAACAAATAAACACATAGAGGTTTGTAACAACTTAAGGGTGAGTAAATGATGAAAGAATTGTAATTTTTAGGTGAACTAACCCTTTAAAGCCATACAAGATTTTACATTTGACTTACAAAATAGATCACTTGCACTGCTCCACCTTGTTTTTTTTTGTTTTTTTTGTTTTTTTCTCGACATATAGATGACCTTAAATTTAATATACATAGACTAAATTGCTCAAATCGCTCATTTTGATTCCATGGGGCCTTTATCTTTGTGAAAAAGAAGTACAGTTTAGCAGCATACTTTTAAAAGATGACTTAATTTATAAATAGATACTTCATTATATTATATATCTCATAAATATGTATATATATATATATATATATATATAAATGTACAAACCCGATTCCAAAAAAGTTGGGACACTGTACAAATTTTGAGTAAAAAAAGAATGGAATAATTTAGAAATCTCATAAACTTATATTTTATTCACAATAGAATATAAATGACATATCAAATGTTGAAAGTGAGACATTTTGAATTGCCATGCCAAATATTGGCTCGTTTTGGATTTCATGAGAGCTACAAATTCCAAAAAAGTTGGGACAGGTAGCAATAAGAGGCCAGAAAAGTTAAATGTACATATAAGGAAAAGCTGGAGGACCAATTTGCAACTTATTAGGTCAATTGGCAACATGATTGGGTATAAAAAGAGCCTCTCAGAGTGGCAGTGTCTCTCAGAAGTCAAGATGGGCAGAGAATCACCAATTCCCCAAATGCTGAGGCAAAAAATAGTGGAGCAATATCAGAAAGGAGTTTCTCAGAGAAAAATTACAAAGAGTTTGAAGTTATCATCATCTACAGTGCATAATATCATCCAAAGATTCAGAGAATCTGGAACAATCTCTGTGCATAAGGGTCAAGGCCGGAAAACCATACTGAATGCCCGTGATCTTCGGGCCCTTAGACGGCACTGCATCACACACAGGAATGCTACTGTAATGGAAATCACAACATGGGCTCAAGAATACTTCCAGAAAACATTGTCAGTGAACACAATCCACCGTGCCATTCACCGTTGCCGGCTAAAACTCTATAGGTCAAAAAAGAAGCCATATCTAAACGGGAACCAGAAGCGCAGGCGTTTTCTCTGGGCCAAGGCTCATTTAAAGTGGACTAGCAAAGTGGAAAACTGTTCTGTGGTCAGACGAATCAAAATTTGAAGTTCTTTTTGGAAAACTGGGACGCCATGTCATCCGGACTAAAGAGGACAAGGACAACCCAAGTTGTTATCAGCGCTCAGTTCAGAAGCCCTGCATCTCTGATGGTATGGGGTTGCATGAGTGCATGAGTGCGTGTGGCATGGGCAGCTTACACATCTGGAAAGGCACCATCAATGCTGAAAGGTATATCCAAGTTCTAGAACAACATGCTCCCATCCAGACATCGTCTCTTTCAGGGAAGACCTTGTATTTTCCAATAAGACAATGCCAAACCACATACTGCATCAATTACAACATCATGGCTGCGTAGAAGAAGGATCCGGGTACTGAAATGTCCAGCCTGCAGTCCAGATCTTTCACCCATACAAAACATTTGGCGCATCATAAAGAGGAAGATGCAACAAAGAAGACCTAAGACAGTTGAGCAGCTAGAAGCCTTTATTAGACAAGAATGGGACAACATTCCTATTCCTAAACTTGAGCAACTTGTCTCCTCAGTCCCCAGACGTTTGCAGACTGTTATTAAAAGAAGAGGCGATGCCACACAGTGGTAAAAATGGCCTTTTCCCAACTTTTTTGAGATGTGTTGATGCCATGAAATTTAAAATCAACTTATTTTTCCCTTAAAATTATGCATTTTCTCAGTTTAAACATTTGATATGTCATCTATGTTGTATTCTAAATATAATATTGAAATTTGAAACTTCCACATCATTGCATTCTGTTTTTATTCACAATTTGTACAATGTCCCAACTTTTATGGAATTGGGTTTGTATATACACCTCACTAATAGAACATGCTTAAGTGCAAAGTGAATGTAATGTTTTCAGACACTTAATTGCAGAGATTAGAATAGAAATTAGAGCCCGACCGATAAAGTTATTTTGAAGGCTGATACCGATACAAATATTTTTGGGTTTTAAAATCCGACATTCCGATATATCGGCCGATATTTTTTTTTTAAATTAAATATTTTTTGGTTTCACACGCGTGTAAAAGAAAAGCTAACTTTTCTGCAAAAGATACGTTTGATACTTTTTCTCTATGTCTAAATGTTCACTCCTCGCAAGTATAACTTGCAGTTTACAATGCAGGGACTGTAACTAGAGATATGCTAGTTATAAATACAGTAATAATTACTTTATTTAGGCAGAAAAAGTTCATTGTGGTTTCCAAGCTCATTAATGTTAACGTTAGCGGTCTTCCACTGATGATAGTGGCATTAGCTAGCTTTGTGGTTAGCTAGTCTATGATGAGCCATAAATTAACAATAGATAACATCATACTGCAAATTGTAAAACATACATTTTCAATATAACAGGCCAAGGAGAGATGATTAAAGCGTGTTTCGTCCGTTTTTATTTTATTTTTTAAATATTCATTTATCGGCCATTATAACTGCCGATACCGATATTATGGAAAATGCCTGATATCGGCCGATAATATCAGCCGGCCGATATATCTCTCTAATAGAAATTCATAATTCTATTGTCTTTAAAATATGGATAAAGTGTGTACTGAAAGCATTTAAAATATGTAACATCAAAATAAGCATACTTTAAAGCTTAAAATGCTTTTACGATTTTAAAAGTGCACTTAAGTGTGTTAAGAAAACAGTCATGAAAGTGTACACTTACGTGGCCTTTAACTTTTTGAACATTATTAGCTGCAAGTACTTTTTTTTTTTTTTAAATATACTTTTTAGACTTGTACCCGTACCCGACAAATGTGCATTCAGTACAATTAAGCACACTTACTTATTTTTTTACAAGGGGAATAAGTACCTTTCAACATTATTTTAATATATAGTAGAGTTAGGCAATAAACCACAATCTGCATGCCTTTTCTTTCGTTTGAGATGAGAGATTGTAATTTTATTACAGCCTTGTATTTTGTCCTTTTGATTAAGCACAAATTCCCCTTTTTTCTCCTCTGTAGCACATCTGTTGTGACTGTAAGAAGAGTTTTTGTTCGCTGTGCTCAGTACTTCAGGAAAACCAGCGCAGATGCACAACCTGTCAGCTGCTGAAGGGCACTTCATTCCAGCGTCCACAGCTCATGCGTTTGCGTGTTAAGGACTTGCGGCAGTATCTTACGTTACGCAATATTAACACTGATACCTGCAGGTACTTTCACACGGGCAACCGTATGTGAGCATTATTAATAATTGGGTATATTATGACCATATCATTAGTGTTTTTGAGTTGTTTGAATGCTTCGAATCCTTAGGGAGAAAGAGGACCTTGTGGACTTGGTGCTTTGCCACCAAGGTGCCGAAAGTGAGGATGATCCAGACACGCCTTCTCTGCAGTCACGCCCCCTGTATAGCCCGCCCCCTTCAACGGAAGAGCCCACTTCTCCTCTCTCAGCTCTCTCTCCAGCTCAAGGAGAACCAATCAGTAGGAGCAACAGCTCCGAGTCCAATCAGGTGTGTCCAGCTGATTCTAATCTGTGAGCATGGCTGTTATAACATGTTTACATTAGGGGTTAAACGTAATGTAGTTGATTCGTGATTTTAACTTAACTCACTTAACTAGCCCAATTCATTCAATATGGGCCAAGCAGAGAAGCGACCAAACACCCCCACGTTTTCCCTATTTAAATACAGTTACTCGAGTAGTGTAACTCGACCTAGGACGGAGAACCAAAATAAAACGTTGCGCTTTTCTAAGCGTGTAAAATGGATAACTATATTGTATAGTGGAATACCAGTCCAGTTTAAACAGCTTTTTTGCGTCTCTGTATAGACTTTAGAATCGCATCGCTTCATGTCCCGTATCACATCGGAGGAGTATATGTTTGTTCAGAGCATTTCGTATTGATCCGACCATTAGCTACATAAGCCAAAATAAGTTAGAATCCAGAATAAACAGAAATACACAGCATTTCAACAACTTCTGCTCATGAATTTGAAGGCTGCTTTTGGATCGTTGAGGATAAATGCCGTATTAGTTTTTACAAGCATTACTTTAGAGAACTGACTAGCTACCTTGAACAAATGGAGTAACCAAATAAAGTGCAGAGTTAGTTACAAACTAGCTAGGAGTTACTATGCCTGTAGTGTGGACTTTATGTTCCAAAGAACGTATGCATGGCTGATTCAATCCTACCCAGAATGCACTGATGTGCACAATTATCTGTGCTCAAAATGGCTGTGCAAAAATGAACTGGTTTACACAATTTTGGCATTGGATTTAAGTGTACTTTATACCACTATTAACAAGAGGTTTGGCAGTCATTGGTGAATCCTTTGTAAAGTTGTTCTTAGTGTGGATGGCTAATTGTTTTCTTTCTTTTTAAACATTCCTTGCTGATAGGATATTGAGGACTCCACTTCAGTCTCACTTCTTAACCTCGACCAGGCAGAACACACACCAGAGGTGAGTTAATTCTCTCACTGGTAATTGAAAGGACTAACATTGTCATGAACTACACACTTTCTTGGGCTGGTCAGAATAAGAATTTCATCTTCTCAACACATTTGACTTAACACAATTAAAATGTTAAAATCTAAGTAAATTTGTTAGTAAAAATTCATCACCTTTATATGTCACATTCAGTGTTATTTATTATTATTACAGTATGTATTCATATTTTGAATTGGCATTTTTTTTTTCTTTTTCTTTACCCACTCACAATAAAAATACTTCCAAAAATGCTTCCTTTTACAGTCCAGTTACCCATGTAAATACTTTGTACTTATTTTAGTAACTACAATTATTGGGTAATAACTAGTACTAACCCTGAACCTACCCATAAACCAACCCCTGTTCCATTCCATACTTTCTAGGTAAATACACTGTAAGTACTGTACTGTAAAAGGAAGCGTTACCAAATACTCTACACCATTATCTTGAGTATGAAATATTACATTTTTTTTCTGAGAAAAAAATACTTTAATGATGATCTAAATTAAATAGGAGTTGTTTCTGGATATAGATCTACTACAGGTAGGTGCAATCTGCTGGCTTGAAGAAAACATGTTGGCATTTTAAAAGTGTGTGTTTTTGCAAAGATTTCACACAAGTTTGTAAAAATAGAACTAAAATGCCCTTAACATTTTATTCACAATTTTTTTATTTCAATAATCTAAATGTAAATCATTAACTTTAGAATAATAAATTATATTTTAAAAAATATGTGAATAAAACCAATAGCAATAAGCAGAAATTAAAGGGTGTGTGCGTTTGTGCGCGCGTTCACATGCATGCGAAAGTGTTTGTGTGCAACTGTGCATGCATGTGTATTTGTGCATGTGTTAGGTCTCACACCTTCATATCTGCATTTGTGGCTGATTTTGTTTGCCTAATATTATACAAATATGGTTTTGTTGCAGTCACACTTACATAGAGAGAGAGAGAGAGATTGTGAGCATGTTTATTCCATATTGCATTCTTACTTTAGCACCAGGCCTTAATTTCTGTGTGAAAATTCAAATTTTTGTTTTTTTAAATGAAAGATAATAAATACTTAATGTTTCGCCTTTCCTGTTTATTTCCAATGTTTCAGTTTTTTGCGTATAGATTGAGAATGAAACAAGTCACAAAACCTCGTGCCAGTGAAAGGAAGGGAACAATGCTTTTGAGGGAAACATCAAATGGGGGTCTGAACGGACAATATGAGGGTTAAATTGCAGAGATTATGTAACATGACTAGAATGTCCCGTTATTATCAGGTTAGTCCTCAGACGCGGCGGCGGGCTAGAGCTTCTCTGTCAGATCTGTCCTCCCTCGGTGACGTGGAGCAGTTGACGGTCAGGCAGCTGAAGGAGATCCTTGCGAGGAACTTTGTGAGCTTCTCCGGCTGCTGTGAGAAGTGGGAGCTGGTGGAGCGCGTCAGGAGGCTTTACCGGGAGAATGAGGACAATCGTAAATCTAGTGAGTGCTAACACTGCTCCGTGAATAAAGCAACACGCAGTCTAAAAATAAACTTTTGCCATACCTGCCAATTGTGAGAGAATTGAGAACTGTCGAAAAAAAATAAAAAGACTGAAATATACTGTATGTATATTCATTTTTATAAAAGCGTGCTCTCTTTTTTTTTCAGTGGAAAATGTGAGCAACCCCATCACTGCTGGTAAGAAATTTTCACCTCACAGATTGAATTAAAAAATTCATTGTGCATAGTGCAAATGTCTCAGTTGATTTCATTGATGATCTGCTCAGGTTACACAGTAAATTAAATGGACTGTTTAACTAATAATAACTCCTAGCTGAGTCTAATAGCTGTGCTTTGCTCCTCCCACTTAAGTGGTAGCTTATCCCCCTCCAATCTGCAATGGTGGAATCGGAGGTAAGGCTTGTGATTGGTGGAAATGCTCCCTGGTCACACTCACCAGTGCACTGACTGCAGTTTGTGATGTCATTGCACTTCAACCCCCTCCCTGCATGGCCACTGCCAGATAGCATGTAGTCTCAAAAGGAAAAATGTAAAGTGCCATTGTTTACACTGCCATCAATGATTTGTAATGTAGGAATAATTGTATTGTTAGGGGTCATAAGAATGTATCTTCTTTGATGGTTTACCCCCATTATCCCATTTCATCCATGCCCTTCATCAAGTATTATTTGTTTTTTGTATGGCTAGAATTTAAATAAACTGCACAATGCAAGAGTTGGGATGTAGTGATGCACTGAAATGAATGTTTTTTTTACCGAAACTGTTCATGGTGTAGTTCACAGGAAATAAATCAGTCATAGGGCCGATTCAAATAGAACATGTTTTTTTGGCTGTTAACCTTCAAATGGTCTTTGTTTCCTGTTTACACTTCTGGGCTTCAGGGGCCTATACGACCCCAACAATTGATTGAGTAATTGTACAAAAAATATACATTTTTAATCATACAAATAATATATATATATTTTTTGTTTACTTCTCATCTATTCATTAATGCTGTGTTTTTGAAGATATAAAGCACTTTTGTATCCATATACCACACAATTCCTCAATTACACCATTAGCTTTAGCATTAGCATATGAAATGATACATTGCATTTATGCTATTCAGATTTATGCCGGATTTTTTTTTCTTCTTTTTTTTTGACACATGAAGAAAATATATTTATTTATTTATTTTTTTTTTTTTTTAACATTTCCCATTCATTTCAATGTGGGGTCAAGGTCATTGACCCCGAAGACCAGAAGTGTAAACTTTATTTATTTATTTATTTTTTTTTTTAACATACCTTCAGAACAACCGAATCAAGCCCAGTTTTTTTTTTTTTTTTTGTGTGTGTGTATAGATAGATAATGTATGAAAAGGGCTACAAACGTGAGACGCAGCGTCCAGTGTTGTAGTCGAGACCACCTCACTCGAGTCCAAATCGACACCAAGACCAGAGAGAGTCGAGTCCGAGTCAAGACCGAGTCCATAGAGAGTCGAGTCCGAGTCGAGTCCGAGACCAGTGAGGGTTGATTACCTAATTTACTTTTATTTGCTTAGAGAAATCCTTTTTTTTTTTTTTTTTTTTTTTTACTGAATTTACTTAGAGTTTAAAAAATATGATCAGTTTAGGGTAAAAAGGCCTCATAGTAGGTGGTGTTAAAAGTAATTTTATTACAATTTGTCATGCGCAGTTGCGCACTAGAAAATCACCAATCACTGGGCGTGTCAATCAATTTAAAGAAATATTTTATTAACATACATTAAAAATCATGAAAAATATTTTGAATTGAACTCGAGTGGACTCGGGAATAATTCCGAGTCCTAAAAAAAAAAAAATGTTCGAGTACGAGTCAATTCCGAGTCCAAATGGACACGAGTCCATGAAAAGACCAAGACCATTAAAATATGGTCTCGAGACCGAGTCCGAGTCTCGAGTACTACAACACTGGCAGCGTCACTAGTTGGAGGTATCTTACTTGAATTGTGGCCATCTCTGGTTGTGTTTGGTTCTTCCCCAGACAGTAACAGTGTCGGCCCAGATCCGGGCCACATCTGGTACATGTGGACTTAACACATACCAGATGGGGCCGGATCTGGGCCGACACTGTTACTGTCTGGATTTGAATTGACATGAACCCATTGATGAACTCAAGATCATGTTCTTACAGATGGATTGGCACACGTTGTAATGACCCATGTCTTTTTCCTCTCTCTCACTGCAGATGGTTGCAGGACCCAGTTATCAAATGACGACAGCCTGTGTCGCATCTGCATGGACGCTGTCATTGACTGTGTACTGCTGGAGTGCGGTCACATGGTCACCTGCACTAAATGCGGGAAGCGCATGAATGAATGCCCTATATGCAGACAATACGTTATCAGGGCTGTGCACGTTTTCAAGTCTTAATGCTTCTGGGAGTACGTCCTGTTCCACCTGCAGACTGCATTATGATTCGGTGAGGACGAACTCAGCAAGTGCCCGTCTTCACATCGAATTAGGGAGGAAGAGTAAGTCCTCTGCTTAATTTTTCACGACGTTTGAGGAAGACTTTAGATGGTGGGCCACAATGGCTTTGTCAATAAATGTTTCACTAAAAACATTCCACAAGCTCTTCTAAGAGGCTCTGTAATAATATGCAATTGTTCAGCTGCAACACCTCACAGCCTTGACTTGATATCCTACAGCTTTGAAGACATTCTGCTCCCAGATCACATGCAAGCACTGTGAGAAACTCAAGAAAAGAAACAAATGTAATACTCAAGTGGGTTCATCATCATGCACCATAACTCAGGATGGAAGTGTCTGAATGTTCCTATTGCTCTTTTGTTTCCTTTTTGTTTTGTTTTGCAGCTTCTGTGAATGGGCCTTTGTTTCCTGTTTCTAATGTGAAGCCTCTTGGGTTTTTGAAAAAAAGTTTTTCCTACAAGTAACATTGTACTTCCTGATAACTTGTTGACAGATTCAACAAATTTTAAGTGGCATAATGAACATTTTATGGTCCACAACAGATTAGTCCCGTTAAAGGAGTAGTTCACTTTTTTTTAAAAAAAAGCTTTTGCTGATAATTTACTCACCCCCATGTCATCCAAGATATCCATGTCATTCTTTCTTCAGTCGAAAAGAAATTACGTTTTTTGATAAACATTCCAGGATTTTTCCTCATATAATGGACTTCAATGGGAACCAAACGGTTCAAAGTCCAAAAGACAGATTCAGTGCAAACTGCAAACTGTTCAAAGGGCTTTAAACGATTCCAGACGATGAATAAGGGACTTATCAAGTGAAACGATCGATTATTTAAAAAAAATAAAAAAGTTTAAGTTTTATAAGCTCAAATGGTCGCCTTCTTCTGTGATCCACGTTCGCATCAAAATGAACAAATCTTGTTTTCGTGTCATTTGGTTCATTAAACGAACGAAATGAACAAATTGTCTCGGGAACTGATTTGATTTTGATGAACGAGTTTGAATAGGAGAGTCACGAACACGCGTCACAGAACAGAGCAAGGTGACCATTTGAGTTTATAAAACTTAAACTTTGTTTTTTTTGTTTTTAAATGAGCGATCGTTTCGCTTGATAAGACCCTTATTCATCGTCTGGAATCGTTTAAAGCCCTTAACAGTTTGTAGTTTGCACTGAAACTGTCTTTTGGACCTTGAACAGTTTGGTTCCCATTGAAGTCCATTATTTGGAGAAAAATCCTGGAATGTTTTCATCAAAAACCTTAATTTCTTTTCGACTGAAGAAAGAAAGACATGGACATCTTGGATAACATGGGGGTGAGTAAATTATCAGCAAAAGTTATTTAAAAGGGAACTACTCCTTTAATCATTTTTTTTAATCATATGACTTTAACCATAAATGACTGTAAATTTTTTAATCATATGACTTTTTCTTTGTCAGAGTTTTAGGACTGGTTTCTTGAATATGTGACTGACTTAGCAGGTTAATATGCTGGTTTTCCAGTGTGAAGTGGTGATAAACAAGAGAGGGTGGAACTGTTTTTATGCACCAAATACTTAAATGTATGGGGTGTGTGTCAATTGAAAGTAGGACCATAAACCGGTACAATATTACTGATTTAAATCGATAACATTTAAAAATGCCATTTTATGTATGGGCAAAGCAACCATAACTTCAAAATGATGCACGGTGTAAAAGATGATTTGGGTGCCAAAAAGGTGCATTTCTGTCTCCTCATGCACTACAGTTGTTGTTGTTGTTAGTACTTGAATTAATGTACATCGTTAAACCTTTTTAAAAAAAGTCGTCACTAGGGAGTGATTACCCACACAAATAATCAACCCATATTTTGTAGCCATTATTAATGTGTGATAAACCCAATTAGAAGTTGCATCATGCCACATTACAGCGCGCTGACAAGCATCACCTGCACCACAGCAATACCAACCTCTCTTTTTATGTGATGATATATTTTAAGATTATAAGGGATATTACAAATAACATTTAGGTGTATATTCAGATTCATTGCATCCTTGTTTAACCTATTATGTCTGACATGTCTTTAATTCCTGTGTAAATGCCTATTCAGATAAGTTTATTTTTCTTAACAAAAAATAACTTTTTCTTTTGGTCAGTTGCTGTTGATTTAATATAGAATTAACAAACGAGTTATGTATGTTCTTAGTTAGTTGTGATACTTAAATAAAAGTGATAAGAAAGATTTTCACTGGACTGTACTGCATCGTGATTATTAAATGTCAGTTTGTTGTTCCGGTTCATTATTTGTCCAGTCAATATGAAATCAAAATTGACTATTTTAAAAATGTAATGTAAATGTCTTAATTTTTCCCACTAGGAAATTTCTAGGATTAAAACAGATTGCTAATGGCACTTCACGACAACATTTTAAATTTCATATTTGAAGTTATTCTAATACAAGCACATTTACATTTGGTTGAAAAATAACTTCCCTTTTCAAATGCATCACGGTACATTTTTTTTTAATTACATACAAATATAAATAGCCGAATGTACATTAGACTGTTTTAGATGGCGAAAAATGCCTTAATTTATAGTGGTACAAGTATGGTGGCTTAGATCAAATGGCAGACTCCCTCTTTCTGACAGTAAATATCCTGAGACAAAACTCACAATAATACACACCATTAAAATCATCTTTCATCATAACAGTTACCATTTTACAATAATAATCACTGTGGAAGGAATAAAAAGCACATGATAATCTCAGACAAATACTAGATGGAGGTTCAGCAAAGTCTTTTTTTTACCTCATGGGGAAAAATGCATAACTACCTTATATGTTGAACTGAACAAATTACTTGTTAACAAGATTAAATAATCAGTAATTTGTTTGGTCTAACACTTGTAGAGCTTAGCTCTACACAGGAATAGCTATGAAATATAACCTACTGATGTCTTGCCTGTTACAACTGTAAAACAACAGATGAAATATGGCACTGGTTTATAAATAGACCTCATAATAACAAATTCCACTTCTATACCTGTTTGAGATAAGAACAGCAAGTACTTGAAATTCAAAGCAGTCAAAACATCTGAAAAAATCAGACTGGAGCATTCCAAAGCTGATTACATAAAATGGACAGAGATATTTAAAAATTCCATTATATTAAAAAAACAAAATAAAGAACAATACATATATCAGGACTGAACCAAATATAGCACAGAAATCTGAACTGATACATCTTTTGTACAAAAAAATTGAATTTTGAATAATGTACAATCATGCTTACTCACTCTTTTCTATTGATTAAGTGTGTGTAGTAGTATCCAGTGAGTATATGGATGTTGTGTGTATATATACCCCTCTGCTTTCTACTACACCACCATTTAAATACAATTTCCTGGTAATAACACATAAATCTCCTCTTAAAGATTAACAGAATTTGAAGAATAAAGTCCATCATCATTAAAATACACCATTCAGAATAGGAGCAGAATTATGTGCCTTTAAGTACAATATGTCTGCTCTTCTCCCCAGTTTGAAAGAAGGCTAAACGCTTTGTCCACATATACGTGTTGCAGTGCTTTTTTTTTTTTAAGTGTGCGAAATGAATTCAGTTTCAGTCCGAACACATGAGTGCACCTGATACATGGTATCATTTTAGACTGGTGTTCATTTCCTCCCAGACACTAGGGGGTGCTGTGTAGTTTTTGGAGCAGTTTATCCTCTTGCAGTTTGAAGGGAACAATGACCGACATCTCAGCAATGAAGCGCTCGCATGCCTGACGGCTCACCTGCTTGCAAAATCGCAGGTCAATGCGGCAGATGCTTCCGCAGCGTTTGAAGTAACTCAGTGACTGATCAGTGACCCTGTTGCACACTAAAGAGAGAATTCAGAAAGAAGAGATCAGTAATCAGTGAGGGGGAATTAAGAGTTTTACAGCATTAGACTCCTATGGTCCTACATAAACCAATGCAAATCCTATGGCACACAGGTTTAACATTTTAAGTTTTTTTTTTTTTCATAGATCCCCACAGCATACTGAAATAATGGCGGTGCCTGAGATCTCACTCTGAACAGGCCCACAAATCTTATGAGCCAAATGACGTAACCTGCACACATTGGATGCTTCACTGATTAAAATGAGAGAATTTTTTGTGTCAGTGTAGCCAGACTGAGTTGTTGTTTTGAAAACTTTAAGCGATGGCTGATTTTTCTTGCCCGCTAGCTGCTAATGTTTTTGGTTCGCGACCAGTTCACACTGCAGACATCAGATTTCAACCAATCCGACAATCAACCAGGGGCTTACTTTTCGTTGTCAAATTAGACCAATCTACATTTTTAAGTAACTGATTTGAAAAACATATGAACAGTCTAACTTTTAAGACTAGTCTTAGCAGTTAATGCAACTGGCCCCATTACATCACTGCTAAGACATTCTACGACTAACAAATGCAGATTAAACATGTTCAGTTGGTGAAAACATACGCAGACCAACTGCAACATACACCAACAGGGGTAACACAAGCCCCTTTCACACAGAGATTCTGGAAAATACACGGATAATGTGACCCTGCAATTGTCCCGGGATTGTTTGATTTCGGTTCATTCACACTGCCAGTGATTTGCCGGGATCTGTGAGTGCGTTCACACACAACTCGTAAAGATCCCAGAAAGACATGTGACGTACGCGTCGAAAACATGTACACGAGTATACCGTTCCACAAAGCTGGTGAACGATCTCAGCTTCAGTGCGGATAGTGAGGAGCTCCTGGTCTCTGCTTCGTTCCAGTTTGCAGACATTTGTTCGTCCTTTCTTTGTTGATGACGAACACAAACTTTCTTCTAAGAGCAACAGAGTCGCGTGATGGTACGAGCGTCATCACTATGACACACCCCTTATGGCATTGGTCCTGGCTTTTGTTCACACAGCGCGCGTTCTGGGACTGATTCCGGCAATTCCCCAACCCGGCATCGATGCCGGTATCAATCCCGGGTCGTATTTGCGTTCACACAGAAGGCGTTCTGGCAATTTCCCGGGATCAACGCGCTGTGTTAAAGGGGCTATACTGACACAATCAAACCCAGTGAACATATCTTTTGGTGTTGGAGCAGTGTGAATTGGCCTTAAGGGAAAAATAAGAATCCAAATGATCTTTGGTGGAAACAACAGTTCAAAATTGGGCACTGGTCCAGGATAGTATTACAAATGGGATTTGTGACTAAATATTTAAACCGTGCAATTACCAGAAAGGTTGACATCGGTTAGGGAGTCCCTCGTGGTGGTCCCTGCAGCAGTCAGCAGGTTTACTGACTGGTCATTGATATGGTTGCAGTAACTCAAGTCCAGACGGGAGAGTAGAGGCATATTTTTAATTATGAGACGCAGAGAGCAGTCCGTGAGGTCCAAACCAGCCAGACGCAGGTCAGTAACATTCCGTAGTTTGCTGCGTGTGTCCATCTGACCTGTTAGAGAAAGCCAAATTAGAGAATATGCCACTATAGAGTATATATCTTGGGTCTTGGAGTTGCACATATCGATCTGAAGTGTTGTATCATACCTGGTCTGTTGTCAGTTGGAGGGGATAGTAGGTCCCTCATCTGGGGGTCTTTGAGCCCCTCCACCCACTGCAGATCTAGAGTACGCAGTAGAGGACAGCTGGATGTGCAGAGAGCCGAAACGGCCACCCATGAACAGCCTGATAGGAGGAGCACCCTCAGTCCTGTATCCAAACACACAAGCATTTAGTAATAGCTGCACAGATTTGGATGACGTGGATCTACATACTACTTGCTCACATGAACACTGACCTGGTAGTCGGTTAATAAGCCAGCTTAATTGCTTCTTGGAGATGTTGGTCCAGCTCAAGTCCAATGTGATGGGCTGTCTGCGAATTATCCCACTCAGCATGAGTGGTGTGATGGACTTACAGCGCTTCAAATCGATATGAGTCCACAATCTCTTGTCACAACACCTAAACAGATACATAAAAAGATGTTAATTGAAACCACCAATCAACAGCTCTAAAAGTGGCCAACTATAAAATGCCATTGTAATAATTGTATAGGACCTGTCCCAAAATGGTACTTCCAATTCTCATGGCCTTTGCTTGCACATGTCTCTTAAGTCCATGAGATTGCAGGGCAGCGGTGTACAATCCTGCTGCTGAAGGGCCAATTTCCTGCAAAGTTTAGCTTCAGTCAGCTCCAAAACAGCTGCCTGGAAGTTTTTGGAAGTCCTGAAGATCTTGAGTAAATGGTTGAGGTGTGTTTAATGAGGGTTGAAGGTAAACTCTGCAGGAAGGTGACCCTCCACAAGAAGGAATGGACACCCCTGCTGTAGGGTGTCCTATTTGTCATTTCATGGTTGAGATTGGGATTTTTCAATGGTCTACTACCCCAGTATTCCTCACTGTTCCTAAAGGCACAACAACAGAAAATATTTTGGATGTCTCCATTATGTGATCCATGCATTTCAGGTCTTAGAGTCTTGGAGCTGATGAGTTGAAAATGTTTGAATAGGAAGAGTTCGAAAATGTGTTCTGCTGGTGTGCCACTGGGAGTAGAGTTGGGAAACACTTTAAACTAAACTGTCCTTGCAACATAATGTGACCAAAGTGTAAACTAATTGAGAAGGACCAGAATACTTGAGGCTGACATTTGGGACAGGGCCAGACATAATAAGTCTCAAGTTTGAGGTGTGAAAAGGTAAACCAGTCTTTAGGGTTTTCTTACCAGCGATTCCATGTCCTGCACACGCGCATGCACACACAAAGTTCACGATGGCTCAAGTGACTGAAGATAGCCAACCACGCTTCTCTGGGCGCAATGTGATTACGCCCATCAGCTAGTGGTAGCCTATCAGGTGGAGGGCAAATCGGAGGTGGCCGGATCACATGGCGCTCCATCTGAACACACTTGGGAGGGGAACGTGCAGGAAGTGGCCTGACTGTAGGTGAACTGCGGTTCAAGCCAAGAGGGGTGATCTGAGGAGGGTAGAAGTGCCGCAGCTCCCAAGACGTCCCGTTCATCTCCCTTGCTCGTAAGTGTGGTCGCTCCCCCCCTCCCTCTCCTCCTGCTCCCCTTTCTACTCCTCCACCTCCTCCTCCCACATTCCCTGTAGTCCCGTTCCGTAAGCCTCTCTTTGGTTCCTCGTTCTCGCTGTCCTCGGGTTCACTCTTGAGTGGCTGCTGGTTCTCATTGGCCAGTGAATGCTCCGTGCGACGGATCTCCATGTTAAGCTGCTTGCTAAGTTCTGCGCTAAGCTGGCGGTTAGGGGGCTTCCGTCGGTGTCGCCTCGCCCGAGGACGTGGTGCCTTTTCTTGCGTCTCGCTGCCTTCACTGCTCGGCCCTGCCCTTGGGGAGCTGCACCGCGATGCGTCACTCTCAAGCGATAAAGAATGGTTCTTCAGTGCAGGGCTGCTGTCCCTGCCTCGTTTGCCATTACTCTCATCCTCCTCTTCCTCATCATCTTCATCTTTGTCTTCTTCTTGGTCTTCTTCTTTCTTTAGGGTGTTAAACTCCTTTAGGGATCTGAAAGGTGAATCTCTCTCCTCCCGTCTCTCTTCTTCATGCGATTCCTCTTTTCTCACTGTGCTGTAGTCCTTCTTAAATGAACGACGAGGCGGTTCTCGCTTCTCCTGCCTGTCTTCCTCCTCATCAGAGTTGTCTTCCTCCTCTTCTGTTCTCATGTGAGAGAGTTTGGGAATCAAAGGCTCTTCAGACCTCCAGGGTTTCTTCGACTAAAAATGTGTCAACAAAGTTACTAAATGCAAAACTACAGCAGATTTGTTTATGCAAATAATGCTTGTCTGCGTAGATGTTACCTTCTTTTTAGCACTAGCCTCCTCTTCCTCTTCATCGTCATCAAATAACTTCCTCTTCTTTCTCAAAAAGTTGGGAACTTCGGATCGTGGTCTTGGCAGGCCACTGGGGGTCAAGAGTGGGGGTAGACGTGAGGGCAGATCCTCAGTCTTCAGTCTGGGAGTTTCCTCCCTCTCACTCTTCCTTTTGATGGATGCTGCACCTGTCAATGTCTGGTCCCCTTCCTCTCTACCGTCACGACCTGCTTTTTGCTCCCTCAGAAGGGACCCTGGCAGGTTGGATGCGTACTTGAAGCCTGGGCCCCGTTTTTGCTTGCAGGCCAAAGAGTGGCAAGAAAATACAAAAGACAACTTTATACCTTATGATTATTACAAACTGTTCAACAAGCATGAATTGGTATGATATATGACATTTCCTATTTAATCGCTAAAACATTTCAGAGTTTATATAAAGGGAAAGAGCTCGGCAACCTGTCAGTTACTTAACGGAATTAAAATGATCACAACACAACTATTTGCATTTTATTTGCATATAGATCTAGTTTGACAGTTTGCTTATGGCCTTGTAATTCTGAGTGATACTTAATGCTTTTTGTAAGAAACTAAAACAGGAACTAAATATGTGAGGCAATTGGTTCAAAAAGTATGAAATTAATGAAAAAAGTTCCAAAACATATCACTGCATACCACAGCTCATAATAAAGGACTTTGATAAAGACTTTAATATATACTTTTTTAATCTTTGTATCTCAATTTTTATACTACCAAACTACTACTGCTGTTCCCCAAATACTCACTTTTCCAGTTTTCCCAGCATAATTGCATTTTGGACATTCCCAGCAGTTAGGAAGCTCATCATTTACTACCCCGGCTGCATCCTTTACCTGTATAGGCAAGAGACCGAACTTAGAGCAGAAGAGATGTCTAAGAATGTTTATGAAGACACACTTTAGCCAAGTAATGTGAATACATTACACCTCCACACACTAAAGGGGAACTAAAGGGTGTTAAAAACAGAGCCACCCACTAACATGCACTTCAGTCTAATCTCTTCCTTCCGTTTGTGCCCACGCAAAACAAAAGAGCACAGTGTACACTGCATTCCATTTACTTTAGAACAGGTCTTAAGTCAGTGGTTAGGTTAGGGTGCGGTCAGTCTGACCTTTAGGCAGTTTGGGTGGACAATCTCGTTGCAGATGGAGCACTCCATGAGCATGGCGTTAAATTTTTCATCTTCATCATCAAGTGTGTCTTCTTTACCGGCTTCACCACACACCACACACACTGCTGTGTGCGGCAACACAGGCTGTGGAACCACATGCCAACATATTAACATCCAGAACATTTTTGAAAAATTGTGGTTAAAACAACATGAATTTAATAAAATAACACATGGCTTTTTGGGTAAACACATTTTTACAGACTATTCTATTTAAGGACTATTCAACTGAATTACAGTTAACTTAATTTGGTTGCAAAGTTCAGGCTTATCTTCTGGATCTCAGTTTGATGAATAACTAAATGTCTGTATTGATGCATCTCCAACAACTACCTCTACATCTGCCAGTTCCTCATTCATTTGCTCTATGAAGTAATTCCAATACCTTAATTTCAACGAAATTGAAGGGTCTAGCTAAAGTAGATTCCTCACAAAGATTGTTCCTAAATCTAATTGAGTCTAAAAATGTATTTCTCTCAAGGAAAAAATTCTGAAATGGGGTTGTGATTTAATGAATTCCATTTGGTTCATGAATCATCTCAGTGTTGGTTTGAATTGAGTTTCTTACCGCTATACATTGTCTCATAATGCAAGACTGTTTCATTCGTCCAGGTCCTCCAAACTTCTTCATGTCCTTACAGAAGTGACACTCTCCACATTCCGTCCGCACACATGCCTCGCACTTCCGGCATCGTGTGCGCCTGCGGCGAGCTCCAGAGGAGGTTCGATTGGATGGCAGCTTGACCGCTGTAGCAGTGGATGAAGACGTGGTTGCTGCCGGAGTTGTTGCTGTTGATGCAGCCATTTTAGGCTTGGGTCTATTGGGAAGCCGTTGCTAATGGAAAAAAAGAATGAAAATTAAACTATAAAGTTAATATAGAAAACAGCTATGCAGAGGAACTGCTTCCCATAGAACACTAAAATAGGGTCCAGCTCCAGTCCAAAGGCTAATTTGAGGCCTAAAACAGAAGGATCTCCAACATGCTTTAAAAAGTACAAACTGACAATTTTGATGATTCTTTTATTTAGTGTTTTGTTTTACATTTGCATTTCAAACTTGCCATTTTAAATTGTACTAGACACCTGGGAACAGGGGTGAAATGGTTCAGAATTGTGTTATGAGCTGGTTCTATATGAGGTTAACATTGTAAACTATAGTAAACACCTAATTTTGCTGTATTGTTGGATGCTAATAAGCTAAGTTGGCTATTGGTTTAAAGGGGTCATGAACTGACTTTTTAAATTTTATTTTATTGTTGTCTGAGGTCAACTTCTGACGTTTCCACATCAAAATGAATAAGTAATAGGCTATTTTGTACCCAACTTTTGAGCCTAGCTGAAAAACGCTCGGTTTTTATGGGAGTCTCGCACTGAAGACTTGGAAGTAAACGCCCACTGCTGTGAGTGGATAACAGTTTTGCATATATAATGAGTTTCAACTCACCCATCAATGCACTTGGGGGAAATTGTTTTGAAAACGTCCAATGTTGTAAAATGGCAACCGAATGATTCGCCCATACATGTTCGACCCAGAGTCTGTATGTTGCACAATTCCTGTCAGATCCAATATAGACGGCACAGCACCGTTCTTTACTCTTAATCGGTCTGCAAATCCAGTCTTGTTTACAAAACAATCCTCAGTGTAATGAAGCGAACATACGGATGATGTATTTTACCCACATCAGCTGGAGTGGAACGTCATTAAAATTAAAGTTTATCCATGCAGTCCTATTGGAATCCAGAGGAAGCTTATGCAGCGACTGTCTTCTTCCACAACCAGGCTCTGCACAATATTCTGTATTGCTCGGTAGCTCGATCCGGTTTGTCTTCACGAGGTAGGCATCTATGTTATTTAGCTATGTGTGCAATGGGCGAATCGGTGGGCAGGGCTAAACCGGCCGTGTTGAAGTAGGCGTTGATCTTCTTCTGCAGGGGTGGTGTTTTATCGTCTTTGACGTCATAGTTCCCCACTTTGAAAAACGAGTCGTTTTCAGAGGCTGGTGTCAATAAAAGCTTTTATTGTACTAACAAGGACGTTTTCAGTTCTGAAACTTACAGGATATTCTTATAACATGATGACCTCTTAGATGTCAAGAGCTCAAGGAAAATTTGATTTCTCAGTTCATAACCCCTTTAATGTTGCTAAACTAACAAGAAAAATGCATAGCTGCAGCTAACATGGTCTCCTTTATACCATTTGCTTGGCACCGGCAACTAGTTTAAATGTGATTAGCTCACTGGTAAGAATACATGTTGATTATCACAGGTGCTCTCCTGTATGACTTAATTCCACATATTATACAGCTCTCCATTGTTTCAAAGCTCTTTCCAGTCCCTCATCCCTGTATGAATCTACAGCACTATGCGCTATATGCTTCAAATCAAAATAATCTTCTTTATTCTTCCACCCTTGAGATTTACAGCTCTGTTGAGTTGCAAATGCAGCTCAGCTATTGAAATATAACCCATTTAAAAGCTAATTATGCTGCTCTGTTATTTGGATGACTGAATAATAAGCAGCAGCAATGGTGAATTTCAGCTAATTTGCTCTGGTTACAGAGGAGATGGTGTGCAATAGTACTTTGGACTCGTAATAATATTTAAAATATGACCTAGTTGCAAATACAGAAAGTGCAGTCCAGGACTCTGGTCTAGCATTACTGTATATTAATCTCTGACTCACTGAGCCATGGTGCAATCACTACTATTTCTATATATGAAATTACAACAATGACAAATCAAGATAAAAATGTGTTTCCAGATATCCCATAACATAGCATAATATAATATACTGAAAACTAGCATTAGGTAGACATTTACATTTTCATAGGTGAGTAAATTACGCTGCATAGTAATGTGATTTAATCTTAATTTACATTAAGTTTAGAAGATGCTTTTATCCAAAGTGACTAACGATCCAATTACAGATTTAGCAAAGGGGTTTTTTTTAAAGGAGAAAAGGGATTTACACTGGTACCCGGTGTTACAGATGCATATGTGTGAGAACAATTTGTTCTTTATTACGTCAAGCTTGCATTTTTCTTTCCCACTGTCCAGCATCTTGCTTAAAATTACCATGTCTGATATTAGCATCATCATCATCCTCTCTAAAATAATCCTAATATCAGCTTTCTCCATTACACAGTGTCATTGTCTTGCCTCCTCAGCTCAGATAATAAATACATTACAACACAAGCACAAAACTGCAGTGCAGTACTGGAAGTCTGTCCTTCTGCAATGTAACCATGGCAACACAGCAGTTCTTGCTGACTGGTGGAGTGAAGGAATACTTCTATTCAACATTTAATTGGCTCAGAAGGGGGAAGTGGTTGACGATTGGGTTTAACATCCTTTTTTTATGATTTTGTTTCCAGTTGCATTTCATCTGAGATCTGAGGTACTAAATAGAAGCACTATTCAATGGTGTTATATCCATACTAATGGGATGTTTTAGACATTGAAAGCAAATACTGCCGTTGAGGTATTCCTGCCCTTGCAAAATACAGTTTTCCTCCATACGACACCATTTCATTCACACCAAAACAACTAGAACACAACCATTGCCTGCCACTATGCTTCATCACAACAGATTCAGGGAACTGCAGAGCGGTACAGACTGCAGACTATAAGAATGCTTACTATTAGAGTACAACAGTGTTTTTGTGCTTTGGAGTGATACATCACAGCTGTGACCTCTATTCCTGCTGTCCGAGTGTGGAACCCAATATGAAACATAGTCCTTTCAAAAAGAATGCTCTTTCGTAGCCAGTATTCATTAGCTGTCCAATGGATACACATGTTTGAGGATCTAATACATAATCTCTACCTCAAACAAACGACTGTTTAGACTGATGAAGCTGAAACTAGATCAGACACCAGCTCATTCAGATGTTCTCCAGTTACTCTTACATTATATGTTGCAACATCAATGGATGTGAACTAGATCTATCGACATAGGCACCTCTGAGTCTAGCAAACATGAATAAACTAATAGCAGAGACTGTACTTTTTGAGGAGCCTCATTCCTTCTACTGTCTTCTGAAGGCTGGTTGTAATATTCCACCAATCATTAGTCTTCAATCTATGATCTGCTATTGGGTCTTGGAGGAATCATTCCGTCACAATGGTCTACACCTAAGGACATCATGTTTCCTCCTCAAGGCTAGGACATTCAAATTCACCAAGACATGTTTTTTTTCCACCCATTATTATTCTCCATTCTGGAAAATCCACATGCATCATCTGTTGCGGAGCCGTGGCATTAAAGCCCTTGTGGGAAGATCCCATTTATGAGTTTGGAAATAATGTGATGTCCATACAAACTATTTTATTTAATGTGCTGCCACAAAAAAAATGATGGGAAATGAAGTTTGGTCACACAATAGCCCCTTTCACAGAGCGCGTTGATCCTGGGAAATTGCCGAGAAATTGCCAGAACTCCTTCTGTGTGAATGCAAACACGACCCGGGATTGATACCGGCATCCATGCTGGGTTGGAGACCTACAGTAGTAACATTGCCGGAATCAGTCCCGAAACGTGTGATGTGTGAACAAAAGCCAGGACCAATGCAGTAAGGGTTGTGTCATAGTGATGACGCTCGTACCATCGCGCGACTTAGAAGAAAGTTTGTGTTCGTCATCAACAAAGAAAGGACGAACAAATGTCTGCAAACTGGAACGAAGCAGAGACCGGGAGCTCCTCACTATCCGCACTGAAGCTGAGATCTTCACCAGCTTTGTGGAACGGTATACTCGTGTACATGTTTTCGACGCGCAAGTTACACGTCTCATCCTGACGTCACGTGTCTTTCCAGGATCTTTATGGGTTGTGTGTGAACGCACTCACAGATCCCGGCAAATCACTGGCAGTGTGAATGAACCGAAATCAAACAATCCCGGGACAAATGCCGGGTCACGTTATCCGTGTATTTTCCGGAATCTCTGTGTGAAAGGGGCTAATGTGACTTGAATGCATTACAAACAAACACGCTATTCACCTAAAACACTCATTCATGTTGTAGATGAGATCATCCACACATCCTCCCATGTACACGCCAATGGAAACATAATTACAGTGTGTGTGAATATGTTATTAGGCATGGGTGAGAGTTTATTATGTCTAATTCTTGGCCAATTATAATGCCCAATTATAAGGCCTCATTGCAACCAGTGATCTTGCAGAAGAGTGAAAACTACCGTTTCTGCACAATAGTGATGACCAAGTCAATGAAAACATGTTGAACTTTGTTGAGGTGCTCTGCGGAAGAAACAAATATTTAAGGATCAGAGCACTGTGTAATTAAAGCTTTAAGGTGCAGTCATTGGCGGTGTTTATCCAATTTTCTAAAGAAATTCAGTAATTTTAATCCATTTCATATGAAGCTGAAAGATTTCCCTATGCAGATTTTGCAATGGGTTCCAATTGGTCAGGTTGATTCACTCTGGATAGACAGAAAGTTGCTATGTTTGAAAGCGACTTCTGAGTGAAATGCACTGTACTTATGTTGTACATTCACAGCCACTTCACACATAGACCGTTTTTTTTTTTTCACAAATAGTCCGTGAAATTAACCCCTAATCATTTTTTACTAAAATGGCCGCACCTTTAAACCAAAAAGAGTCTAGTATAATTTGACTTATAGACTACCCAAGATGAACCCAGACAGGGGGCCCAAAAGCAGCAAGGCATCCCCCCTCCCTCTATTGTCCCCCCAAAAAAACACACACTTTGCTCCTCCCCTCCCCCAGTCTTCAACAGCCAAAGAAACTGTTTTAAAGATTCAAGACCCAGTTATACATCACAACAGGGATTAAGATATTTGAAGTGTACACATTGTTAGTGAGCATAGGTGATCATCATGTGCATGCTACCAAAATATGTTTATGTCTATGTGTTCTATATGACTTATCTATAGTGATTATGACTAATTTATATATTAGTCATAACTGTTGCACAAATCAGCATGTTGTGTTAACCTGTACCTAATTATTTTTAACCTTTCAAATGGGTGCAAAAGAAAATCAGTTTCCCAGTCTAGATTTTGTCTGCACTTAAAAACAACAAACCAAGCACGATGCTCCATTTCCTAGAAAACAATTTAAGCACCAATGCATCATGGGAAGGGAACTTAAGGGCAACACATGTCCAGTCATGCTGCTGCTTAAGAGGAACTTTAGTCTTCCTTCAATACAGGTTTCACTCCCTAAAAACCCTGCACATGTGTGAAAGTCAGAGTACATCACAACCCAAAAAGTCTACCATCTACAACACTTCAGCTCTCCCAACCAAACAAATGAGACAAACAAGTGAAAACCACATCCAAACAACACAAAGGAAAAGTAACAGGAACATGCTCTTTTCCTTAATGCAAATCTTTCTGAAGGAAGCATGCATGTGTCAAACCAATCAAAACTGAAAGCTGAAGCTTAATGGAGACCAACAATAAGACAGAGGCTCAGGCTCATTGTATGCGTTTTATTTCCTGTCGTATGGAAACCTCTCCAGTGTTATTACTACACGTTTAGTAGTCCACACTGTCCTACTAATTGTTTCAGAGAGAGAAGAAAGATGGTAAGGAAGGTGAAGAAAGCAGGAGGTGGAGAAAAAAAACATGCCTTGTTTAAAATGTGGGCATGGTGCTACAAGGAAGGGAACCTGAGAAGGCAGCTAATTGTTCGTGTGTATGTGGAGAAAGAGAGAGAGTGTGCTGACCTGTTCGGCTGTGTCCGAGTCGTAATCCTCATCGTCGGCGCTCAGTGACATGGCCATGGCCGCCTGATCTCATAGCCAGCCAGACAAACAGAAAATAGACATGGCTACCAAAACCCCCCAATCACAGTCGCCCTCGGTCTCCTCAGCCGATTTCCTTTCTCTGTTCCTCTTCCTTTACCCTTCCCCAATGTCTCGCTCCTGTTTCTCTCCCTCTCTTTTCCTGTCTGGAACAAGCAGCTGCACAGGCACACACCAGCCTGCTATCTCATGCATATGCACCAGAAAAAGAAGACGGGGGAGAGAGGGCCTCGACTCAGCCAATCACAGACCACCTGGCGTCCAGTTACAGGCTTGCCTACAAAGAGCACACATTGTACTGTGTGGGTCTGGGTGGTAGATTGAGAGGGGGAGGGGCGGCACTGCTGCACACAAAAGGACTACTGACATAACCATTCGAGAGCAAGGTCTCGCTCTGCGAGTGATTCAGAGGGTCTGATGTTGTCTTCCTCTTACAAATACAGGAAGTTATCGGTTAACTTGGGTTTGATTGCTTTGGTCTAATGTGCCTTTCTGCAACCATCAGTGCACAAAAGTCTTATGCAGCAGTGAAACATGGTGGGGTGCTCATTTGAATGACAATGGTTAAATACATCACGTTTAAGGGCCTAAATAAGTCTGATTTAAGGAAGTGGGCTTTGTTTGAGGTTGAAGTTAGGCTGTAGGTGATGCTCCAAAAGGAAACACGATGCATTAAGAGCCGGGGGGTGAATAATTTTGAATTACGATTTTGAACAGGATGAAGATGTCCAAATCTTACTTATTATGTTTAAATATAATAACATAATAACCCTTCGGAAGCAACAGAAGATGCTTACATGTTTCCTGGAAGACAAATTACGTACAATTTACTCTCAATGTTCAAATTCAAATTCAAAAAAGTTTTCACCCCCCTTAATGCATCGTGATTCCTTCTTCTCCTTGTGCGTCCCTCAATTGTCCTCAGTGTAAAAATATGGATTTCAAAATCAGTCACTGCTGGAAAGGGTTCAAATATGCTTTCTTATTTCATTTTGATTTCTTAGATTTCATTTTGATGAAGACAATATACTACCGCATAATATTTTATTAAAATAAAGCTAATAAAAGTATCCTTCAGTGACAGTATTGTTATCTTACACATATCACATCAACTGCCGGGAGATCTGTAATCCTTGTGACAAACATATGCATTTTTATGCATGTTATACAATAACAAACAACTACATAATGGTGCAAAAAGATGAGGACTTTGAGCGTGAAATCGTTCGGGCGGTGTGCGCCGGTATAGAAGATGTATCTGTGGGTGGCGGCTCTTATTAGGTGTCCTATTCCCGCTAAAATATCGGCCAGGGAAATGATCAGGGGATTCAGGGATAGGAATCCAGTCACATTTACATCCATAAACTGACTACACTAACCTGTCTTGATAAAGAACATTTTGACAGACTGATTTAGTAGGCCTAGTTCTGACCTCCCTCTTCTTTTCATGACGTTACTGGTGGTACCCAGATTTTTCCTCCACATTTTCAACCAGTCTCTCTTCCAACTTGAACTGTTCTCAGAAGAACAGCCTTCGTTCTGTTCAGTACTAGGGTGGAACTTGCAATTTTAATGGGCCTCTGCTGTCTGTCACTGACTTTGATTACTTTATTCAATTTCTGTACCTTAAAATTGAGATTTTTTAGTGGTAGCCCATCTAAAAAAAATGAATTGGGCCAGTTGGAAAAAAAAAAATTCTTAGCGTGGAGCAGCTCTAAATATTCACTGTGCTATTAAATTAAAAATAAAATATAATAGAGCAATAGAATAAACAGTGAAAGTGAACGTAACAGAAGTCCCTAAAATACATAATTAGGTCTTTTTAAAATGTGAAAATAACTGAGGGAAATATCTATTTGTTAAATTGATTAAGCAGACTATTTTGATTTATATTCTTGTGGTTACTCTACTCAATATTTTTTTTAAAATTAGAAATGCAATGAATTTACAGGCATCACACTCAGTATCGGCAAGTACCAAACATTAAAATATCAGTACTGGACTTATGGAAAAAGTGGTATCGGTGCATTTTATGATGGTCTTACCACAAATACCACAGTAATGGTAATTATGGCATTTTTTTTATTTTAAAAGCAGATAAGACATAAACCTAATTGTAATATCTTACACACAACAGCTTGTAGTAAAGCTGCTATATTTTGTTCTGTAATTCATAATCAGTGTTAAAAACATAAAAATAAAAAAGTTGAGGAAGAGAGATTACCTTAATCATTCATCATATAGATTCCTAATGCCATGTTCAGATACTGCACCTGTTAGAAAAACAAAATAGCAAGAAAGAGATTGGGTATAAGAAAGAAATCTAATAAGGGTGTATGTGTGTGTGTGTGTGTGTGTATATATATATTTAATCTTAATACACTCATTTCAAGTGGCCAGAGGGATTTTGAGCCATTCCTCTTCCAGATCAGTGGCCTGTTCACTATGTGGAAAAACGTTTTCTGAATTGCTCCTTAAAAACACCTCCAAGTGTTTCAATAATATTGAGATCTGGCGACTGTGCAGGCAATGGGAGATGTTTAACTTCACTTGTATGTTCATCAAAGCATTCTGTCACAAGTTTTGCTGTGTGTCACAGAAAGTCACAGAACCACCTTCAGGGTATACTTTTTGAACAATTAGGTGCACATGGTCCTCCAGAAGGGTTCGGTAGTCTTTCGCAGTGACGCGCCTATTAAGCACAGTAGGGAATTCCATGATATTGCAGCCCAAACCATCACTGATCTACTCCTTTGCATCACTCTGAGCAGCAACAGTCCAGGTGTTAAGCCTCTTTGGGGCTTACCATCACCCTGAACAGATGTGGGAAAGAAAGTGAAGGTGGACTCATCAGAGAACAATACATTTTCAAATTATCCACAGCCCAATATTTGCACTGTTGGCACCAATGAAACATTTAGCAACAGTGCGAGTGACCAAAGGTTTGGTTAATATATCTTCCTCTTTCAGACAGCTTCCTCTTGCGTCGACAGTTACTCCTGTTGGATGTGGTTTGTCCAACGTCACGTGTTGGTGTGTTACCCTGAATACCATTGATACACCTCAAAGACTTGCTTTCCTGGTCACAGATGAGTCAGTGAGACACACAACAACAATTTGTCCTCTTCTGAACTCTGATTTGTCTCCCATTTTGTTGTGTGGATTGCATTAATTTATGCACAGCTGTGCTATTGCTCTGCTAATTCTAACTTCACACTCTGGTCTTACTGATCAATGTAAAATCAGTGAAGATTGGCTACCAGATTGACCAGCTCCAACACTATACAGGCCAGTGTTTGTTGGCCCCTGTCTGTGTATGTGCATTTACTCTCTACAGAAACATAAAATCAATTCTAGGACATGACAGTAACAATACAGCATGAAAAAAAAAAAATTTTGGACTACAAATCCCACAAACCGTCAGCAGCGCAGTGATCGTCAGCGGTGCGTTGTGGGTAGCTCGACTTGTAGTTTCTCGTGGAACAGGCTGTAGAACAGGGTTACTGGAGTTAGTCATCTTACAATCGGAGTATGTCACACCGGGTTGAAGGGCTCCGGCAAACGTACGAAGGGTAATCAAGAAGATACAAAGGCGATACCAGACTAAAACATAACGTTTCATAACTTTTGAACTAACATCAAAACGCGCGCAATGAGTTCTAACGAGCACTCACTTCAAGCTTTGTCATGGAGAAAACTTTACTTGAGTCGAGCTAAACTTAAAGCGACCAGCAGAACCTCTGCCCTGCTCTCCGGCTTTGCTATGGTGAGTAAATTAAAGTTATTACTTAACACTTTGTATGAAAAAGAGAAACGTACATTGCTCGGAAGCTTGGCAAGTTGTTCGGAGTTATAGCGTTGTAATATGACGCTTGACATGTCAATCACTTTGATATGCAAACGACACCTGTCGTGGATATAGTGTAATCAGAGGTAGACAGTTTAGCCTTTTACACTAGCCTTGTCAATCTTACTTCGACATAACTCTCAAAAGTGGTGCTTGCTTCAGTGGTGGGGATTTCATTCCAGCAGTGACACGAATCTTTTGAATCAGTAGACTAAAAAGATTCATTCTCATTAAACGATTCAGTGGCCCTTTCTGTACTTTACATCGGTATGCCGTTAGGGGGCGGGGACCTTGTGTGTGTGTTTGTTTCATTCACTCAGTAGATTCGCGTACCTGACGATCTTTGAAGCATCATCCTGAACGAACGAACGTCGTCTCACTATTGATAAGTCCGTCTGCAGAGACTCATTTAATCGTTTTTAAGTTGTCATCGGAATCTTGTGGAAAACAGCAACTTGACTTGTTCAGTGAAGTTCAGTAATCGTTTAGCTGACACAACCAATGAAATGTTGCTTCACAAGATGAACTCGAATGCTATTGGCTACTGCTGTAGTGCAGGAGAGCAAACGAGAACGATTCGTTAATTTAAAAGATTCGTTTTAAACACCAATTAATTTTAAAATCTAAATTCAAGTGACATTGTTTCATCTTTACCACAGTAATATTTGAGTAATGATAATATACACTGAATTAACAAAATTACGACAGCAATTGTTATACAGTAAAACAAAGAGGTATTCATTTCCATAGGGAACTTGGTATGTAATATAAAAAAAGATGACATTTTGTACAATGTTGTGGGGAGGCGTCATATTAATAATTATGATTGTAAAGTAGTAACACTGTATTAGCTATAGCATTTTTGACAACAATTGCAGGTACGGTGAACATTTGTAAGGGCCCCACATTGAGCATCTGGCTCGCTCATAGGCTAAGCTGTGACAACTGCACATCCAATGGCGGGGCGTCTCAGAGGTGCGACCAATGAACTTACCCCTACGTCATTACGCGATCTTCAGTCTTCAGTACCTTTGCGGTGTTTCAGACACGATTTCCACCAATCAGATGCGTCACTGTGGGATTGTTCAGGATTGTGGGTAATGAAGTACTACTTATCCAATACATCGCAAATAAAAGGCATTTATCTTAAAACAAGGTTAGTGCCCCATGAACTTTTGGCGTTTATATGAGCATATACAATCGCTTAGTGCAGCCGTAGCTGGTTTTAAGTCTACAATGTATGGTTATGTTTTTATGGCTTATATCTCAAATGTCAATGGAGAAATTGTATTGAATTTTTACTTCCGGCACCAGCTGTGGGCAGGACTGTGATGCTCTATATCTTCACTATGACAGATTTCCGTTTGCTGGAAGATCCCTTGCAACATTACATCATGCCCACAGGAAATGCACTTCCTTTGACAGTGTTGTGTTAAGAAAACTGATAAAAGTCTATTACAAAATAAATGTAAAATATTATATGGATACTAAATAGAAGTGTTTCGGTTATCATTTTACATAAAAAACCTTCAGTGGTTGACTGCTAATTGTGGACAATTAGGCGCTATTAAACATTACACCATTACGTTTTTTTTGTGTGTGAAAAACACTAAACAAACTTAGTATGCTTGACATTGCTTGAAATTCTATTCAGTTAGTTTTTATAATCTAACTGGCATTTGTGTTTAAGATGAATACAGCTATTACAGCAAAAAAAAACTTTTGTAACACTTTACCAATAACATTAGTTAACTACCTTAGTTAACATGAATTAGGAATGAACAATACTTCTAAAACATTTAATAATCATTCATAGTTAATATTCATTTCAACATTTACAAATACATCATTATCAAAGGTTGTCTTAGTTAACATTAGTTAAAGGGATAGTTCACTTTGAAATTAATTTTTTATATATTTTAGCTTACCTCAAGGGCATCCAAGATGTAGGTGTCTTTTTTTCCACAGTATTTTCAATTTTGATATTTTTAGGTCAAACCGTTGTTGTCTGTCAGTCATATAATGCAGGATTATGGTCACCACCTCAAAGAACATGCACAGAGAAGTCCAAATTAAACACAATTTAATGACTCGTAAATGTAAGGACACACTGTTGGCCTAAGACACGAAACGAGCGGTTTGTGTGAGAAAACGAACAGTATTTATATCGTTTTACCTCTTGTAACCACAGCCACGTCCAAGAGATCTGAGGCCACGGATGCTTCAGTCTGCGCAAGCGCCGGAATGCGCCGGAAGTGATCTCTCGTGCGGTTGCGGAAAAAATTCAACATTGTCTGTTGATATATCGAAATCATCTTCCAATGCCATTTCCTGTATATCTAAATATGTTTAGATCTTCACAGTGAAAGGTGACGCTTCCGAAATCTCTGTGTAAACAATGAGTGACGTACACGCGAGAGATCACTTGCGGCGCTTTCCAGGCGCTTGCGCAGACCGAAGCGCCTGCGGCCTCAGATCACTTGGATGTGGCTGTGATTACACGAGGTAAAAACGATATAAATACTGTTCGTTTTCTCACACAAACCGCTCTTTTCGTGTCTTAGTTAGGCCATCAATGTGTACTTACATTTACGAGTCATTAAATCATGTTTAATTTGGACTTCTCTGTGCATGCTCTTTGAGGGGGTGATCATAGACCTCCATTATATGACTGACAGACAACAACGGTTTGACATAAAAATATAAAAAAGTGAAAATACTGGGGAAACAAGGATGCCCGTGAGGTAAGCTATATCAAAAATTAATTTCAAAGTGAACTATCCCTTTAAATGCACTGTGAAATAACACGAACAAACAATGAAATGCTGTATTTTTACTAACTAAGGTTAATTAATATTGTCACAGATGTATTGCTCATGGTTAGTTCATGTTAGTTAAATACATTAACTAATGAACCTTATTGTAAAGTGTTACCCAAACTTTTTGTATAGAAATGGTGACCCAACACAAAATTTGTTTATCCTACAAAAGTAAACTATTGTTAATTATGATAAATGTCAAAATAGTAATATGAGGAGATGCCATGCAATGTGTTTATTTACTAGGGTTGGGTATCGTTTGAATTTGAACGATTCTGATTCCGATTCCGATTCCTTGTTTCGATTCCGGTTCCTAACGATTCTCGATTCCGATTCTTCTAAGAGGCAGGGTCAAAAAAGTTTAGCTAACCTTGCTAACCAACGGTCTTTTGGAAGGAAATAATCCTTTCTGAAGGAAATTCTCCTTCTGTCACAAATACTCCTTTTGTCACAAATTTTGCATTTTGCCGAGATTTCGTTATTTTTAGAAAAGTGAAGCCACACTTTGGACCGCCGACGTAAGCTACTCATGTTCGACTCGCGCGGTTAAAAGTGCCAACACTTCCGGTAGACGCTTCTTCGTTGGTGTTGTTCAGCGGTTTCTTCTTCCGCTCGGCAGATTGTGAATATTGAAACTAGGAATCAAAATTTTAACTTTTGAACGATTCCGGGAAAAACGAAAAGTTAGTCCCGATTCCAATCGATACTCGATTCTCGATACCCACCCTATTATTTACACAGATTAATTTGCACTGAAAGTCTGTAGAGTTTGATTGAATGCAACACAGCCTTTGATCACAATGACTAAAGAAATGGGAAGCATTATCTCTCTTCCCCTATAAAAGTTGATCAGCACATTTATTTTGTTCTCGTGACAACTGTTTCCCTGCTGAACAGACCCTCGATCCACCTGAGAACCAGAAATGGTTTTCCGGAAGTGTGTGTGTGTGTGTGTGTGTGTATGTGATTGTAAAAGGTGTAATATTCTTTCTGAGGGTGATTATTTCACTTGAGCTCTCTTTACTATAAGCGCTCAGCACAGGAAATGAACTTTAGGAGTGGCTGGAGGAAACTGCAGTTCATAAACATCTCTCTTTAGAGATCGGTGTAAAAATAATGACACATTTCAGTGGTAGTTTTTTATTTAGATGTACTCACTGCACAAGAGTAGAGCACTTCTTCTGTAACCTGCTATTGACTTTGAAACACATTTTCTTATCTGTGGCTGCTACTTGTTGGGCTTCTTTCTGGCCTCATTAAGGGATTTGTGGTCTGTGTTGTTTTCAGAAGTATGAGAAAATCAGCTAGGCTTAGGCCCTATTTGCAAAATTAAAATGTCTGTCATGCTGGAAAAATATTTAAAGATCATTAAAACAAGGTCAGTGAAATTAGTTAGATGTTGAGACTTGCTTTCAAAGAATATAAAATCGATTTCTTCTGCTTGTTCATTTATGTAATTCAAATTAGTTAATGCAACAAAATACTGGAACATTTTGTCACAATTCCATTCCATACAATCAATATAAATTAGGGATGCACTGATATGAAAATTTTGGCCAAAACCGATAACCGATAATTCTTTATATTTGAAAGCCGATAACCGATATATCGGCCGATAAACTTAAATCCAAATTTTTATCTAATTTTGAGAGTCTGATTACAAAAACGAAAGTCTCACTCTCACAATTAAATCCATGTCCCAAGCACACAATTATAATGATGTTCTCATTATAATGTTATGTAGCCGATATAACAGATTTGCGCTGCATATGTTGTACCGAACCGTATTTTCATTTTTTGAAGAGATTTCAATCATATTTCAAGAAATTAAAAAACATAAACAGTGCTCAACAAGTGTCTCAGCTGAAGGGAACAATACATTATTTATCGGCTTTAATATATCGGCCACATTTTCTTACCAGGCCGATAACGATAACATTAAAAATGAACATATATCGGCCGATACCGATGTGCTGGCTGATGTATCGTGCATCCCTAATATAAATGTATACTTTAAATATATTTGGAGGTTTATTTAATCCATTTACATCGGGATTAGATAATTCTCATTGGTCACATCCAAATCCAGATCCAGACACATTGAAAATGTTAGATGCAAGCATTGATGTTTTAATCTAACAATATCTACCAGGGTGATTATAGTTAACTAAAACCATGAAAAACATTATTGTTAATTGGAAAAATATATATGTATATACCAAACTAACTAAACTGAAATTAAAAAGTGAATAAGAACAATATATTTAAAAGAAAATCTAATGCAAATGACGAAAGCACACGGAAATACTAAAACCTTAACTAAACCAATCAGAGTTCTCTCTCTCACCGATGGCCAGATGCCGATTCAGCGTGTTCAAAATTGAATTAAGTTTTTGCTTAAACCGATTGTTGAGGTTGACTGTGATGTCTTATGTTACCAACTCATGTGTTTTCAGGTAGCGATGGTGGAAGTTCAGTTGGAGGACGATCACTATTACCCTCCTGGCCTATTGATTGCTTTCAGTGCCTGCACAACAGTGTTGGTGGCCGTCCACCTCTTTGCCTTGATGATCAGCACATGTATCCTTCCAAACCTGGAAGCCGTGAGCAACGTCCACAACCTCAACTCCATAAAGGAATCGCCACACGAGCGGATGCACCGTCACATCGAGCTGGCCTGGGCCTTCTCCACCGTCATAGGCACCCTTCTGTTTCTTGCAGAGGTGGTTCTTCTCTGCTGGGTGAAGTTCCTTCCTCTGAAGAATGTTAAACCTGACCCGCAAAAGAATGATAGTAGTATAACCCCGGGGGAAGCCGCAGCAATCGCCTCCACCGCCATCATGGTGCCCTTTGGCTTGGTGTTTATCGTTTTCGCTGTGCATTTTTACCGTTCGCTGGTCAGCCACAAGACAGAGCGCCAGGACGAGGAGTTGGAGGTTCTGGCCAAAATCACACAGATGCAAAACCAACTGGATAACAGGGCAGAGTCTAATTTTGCTTAGTCTACGCACTTAGATGAGTCCTTGTTCTCACGCCAAACACTTTCCCAAAATATGGAATGTTGCCACAAATTAATGGGACACTAGATGGTAGGAATCAGGGATTCTGCAATATGTTAGTATCACAATATTGTGATGCCTTGTGTTTTTCTTGTTAACATACAAACCTTGATACCGATGGGGAATCTGACAGTTGTAACACCACGCTATTGTAAACTGCCATTATCTGTTCACCCACAAATAATAGTAAGAAATTTAAAGAAATTTTGTTGTGAATGCAAAATTCCCTGCTGCTGTTGGTCTAAAATTTCGCTCTCAACACTCTGGATGCTTTCAGCATAGAAAGTGTCGGTCAAAAACAGTGACAGTAACTGAAAAGTAATAACCATTTAAAAATTTTGGCTTTTTTTCCATTGAATAGTAACACCAAAATGTTTGCCAGAGCTGTTTGGTTATTACAGTTCAATTTCCATAAGGCTAAATTGCTACATCCGAATGCATAGAACGCTTTAATATCGTTTTTCAGTATTATGATAATAGACTCATTTTCTTTTCATCTTAATTGCACAATGCAGATAAATCTAAATACCGGTAATTCATATAAGTCTAAATATAAGCACACTGTGTGACCGTTCATTTTAAAATGTGGTTAATTGGCTCAGAGATTTACCCTGGAAGGATTTTAAAAAGGCTTTTCACGTTATTAACCCCAGCCAAAGGAAAGTTTTACACTTGTAATTTAGAAGCAGGGTTAATCAAATCATTTGAATTGTGACAGAGAATGCGACAATTGGACTGACAACGTTTCATTCTTGCCTTTTATTGCCTGTACTGAGTTCGTCCAATCAGTGACACTGACACAAAAAGGCTAGCCCAGGGTTTAGTCATTGTAATGAGTGAAACGTTGGTTAAAAGGTTTAGGTATCGTTTGAATTTAATCGATTCCAATTCTACTTATCGATTCCGATTTTTACCGATTCCCAGTTTCGATTCTAAATTTTTTTATATTTTTTTTAAAGAGACGCACACACAAAGAAAATAAAAATAATTGTCAAACATTTAGATATCTAACTTACTCATTCTGAGTCTTTTTACAAAACATTGCAGATTTGAACAACACTCAGGAGCATTTCCCTACAAACCAGGAACACACCAAGCCGACGGTCGGCTGTCAGGCAACGTCAAGCCGTTTTTACGCCTCGGCCGACTGATTTATACTTCTGCGTTGGACCTACGGCGGAGCCTCTACGCTATAGACTACTATTGTCGCGTTGCAGAGGGAGCATGTGAAACGCGGGGAGCGGTTCTAGCAGACCAATCACAACGCTTGCGGTACGTGTAAAATTCACGCGTTGTTACATTTTTGGAGAGGTGCACGTCATCACGCTGCTGATCCACATGTCCGTGCGACACTTCTGTTGCGCCGTGCTCCAATTTTTTCCTATGGGTGACGTCACGTGACTTTCACACGCCCGCTAAGCATCCCGGGAATGCGGCGCTTCATTTGGAAAAATGCTGCGCGTCAAAAAGCTGGCCGATGCCCATCTTTATGCAAATGAATTCCGTTGAACGCGCCGCGACTATCCAATAGAAATAGAGCATATGGAGACGGGAGGAAGTCTCTCGTAGGTCCTCTGTTCTAGACTGGCCGCTGGCTCAAAACCACGGCCATAGCGGTAAACAGAGGAACGCCCATCAAAGTACAAATGTGGGGAGGCGTCGCGACAACACGCGACTGTCGTGTCGGACAAGTGGATCTCTACCGTCAGCCAGCTTTTTTTGTCGTGCAACAATTTTTTAAATGAAGCACCGCCTTCCCGGAATGCTTTGCGGTCGCGACAAAGTTGCATGACGTCACCCATAGGAATAAAGCGTTGCGCGGCGCGACACAGGGGTCGCACGGACAAGTGGATCAGCACCTTTGCGGTAGTTTTCATTAGCGGTAGTTTTTTTGGCGTCGGGTTGGTGCGTCCCTTATGGTTTAATAAAAATACCACAGCAAAAACAAGTACTACTAACTAATATAAATTTCAAACATTATAATAGACAAGTAAACAATCAGTAATAAAATAAGAAAAAATAAGCAAATTAGCAATAGCACGAATAAAGGAACCTCTACACATTTCAGGTACAGAAAAATTACAGTTAAAATTGTTATCAAATGTAAAATAATTACTGATTAATCGTGATTAATCGGATCTAGATAAAAGTTTGTGTTTATATTATATTTTTTATACACACATGAATAATATATATATATATATATATATTAAACACATACAAACACAAATGTTTATGTTAGATGTGATTAATCGATTTGACAGTACTAAAAATAATTAATAGTTTTTTTTATAAATAAAATATAGATTAGTCATTATTAAAGTTACAAAAGTTATTCAGTCAGGATCAGTAAGTGATTTTCTTTTTCTTTTGCTCTTTGGTTAACACCAAACAGCAGCAGTTGGGTTAGGCTTTTGTCACTTTAGGAACGAATGCACAGATCCAATATATTGTTAGTGTTACGTATGCGTTTTCTTGTGTTTATGAGGGTATTGTGATATAATTGTGTGTGCATTTGTCCGTTCAAGCGTGCTTGTGCTTTGGATGTGTGCTCAGCACAGAAAACAGCATGCAAGTGCTGTATTTTTTTCTTTCGTGTATTCTTGTGCTTGAATGGTTGCATTAAATTGCACACACAAGAATCAATAAGTGGAATCGTCTTATCAAATTCACGATCGGTGGAAATTTGGAACTGGTTCTCGATACCCAACCCTATAAATAAACCCCCAGGATTTACCGTTTACCCCACGTAAATTATGAGCAGTCTGAAGCAAGAAGAGTTAATTTTCAAGTGTGGAAAGTGCAGCTTTAAAAAAAAAGTGTTGTTTAACATTTTGACGACCCATTTCGTAAATAAAGATATGGAATTTTTACCAATTACATTTTGTAATTTAACCAAACAGTGGGTTGCAGCTGGTTTTATTTCAATCATTTATGTGCCAGGCCACATGAAAACATATTTACTTTGCTGCTGTTTAGACCATTAAGACCTGAAATAAAGATTTTTTTTAGGGTGCTTTATCTTGCTCTTGGCTGAGGCTTCAAAAAGCTCAAAATCTTAAATATTGTATATTTTGTTTGTTCTGCATGTTTTGTTTGCGTGAATACAAGATGTGGATTGGATTATTTTTTTTAAAGAGATATTTCAAAAAGCCTTTGCTGTGAAGAGGCTATTATAAGGCTGGTATCATTTGTTTACAAATATAGTCATGAGTCATTTCAAGAGTAAAACTTTTTATAGGTTTTTGCACATCTACTGTAAAGTTTTTTTAATATTTCAAATTATTCAGGCCACCTCCACTTGTGTGTTACATCTTATATCTTTTGCTAAGTTGGTTAAGTGTTTTATTATTTTGAAATATGTACAAATACTTGTTTGATAATAAGCCTTGGAAAAGTATGCTTTTGTCCTTATGGCAAGAAGGTACTATTTCTTAAAGTAGAGATACTGTTTTACTGGCAGACATTTTAGTACTTCAGATGTAGTGACAGTAATAGAGAAAAACAGAGCATCATATTTTTATATTTTATATAACAATTTATTTTTATCCTATATATAAGTGTCTAGGTTGCTCTTCTTTGTGAATATGTAAAATATCCCCACTTAATGGGGGTTAAAAGAAGCCTTACTTTCATATTTCATTATTGTATAAGATGCTTGAGTTTGGACATGACTTTTTTATTTTATGGCACTTTTCAGCAATTTTCCGTTGTTTCATTTGTCTGTGCCCCCGACAGGTATTTGTCAAATAGAAAATGAGCATTTGCCAAATAAAAATTTGTAAGGTGCTGATTGTTTCTTATTGTCTGGAGTTTAAAGAGGATTAGCTGAGATTTATTTTTGTTTAGTTTTTTCTCTTAACTATTCCAAATGTTAAAGAAGCTCAGAACTTCTATTTTGTCTCTAGTTAGATGCACTTAAACTATGTGTTTATCGAATCATGTAAATCAGCTAAAGTTGGATTATCTCATTGACATGGCAGGATGAAATGAAAGCTACACGTGTGTGTTTTTGCTGGTCCCTTACCTTTATAGACTTCTCGTACACTAATTGTACAGAACAAAACAAAATATAATGGAACAAAACGTCCAGAAAATGTCTTGTGAGTGCAGCACAATAGAGCAGCCCAGTGCGCCCTCTTGAGGAACACAACTGAACAACAACTGACCTAGTAAATCTTTTTCACACTGCAGATACAATACTCTTACACTTCGTGAAATTATACAATTATTGATTAAAGATGTCAAGGATTATTGAAAGCGTTTTTAGAAATAACTGAAAAGATGCTACGTGTAGTTTTTTTTAAACAAACCATTAAAAGAAATCCATGACTAAAATATGAAATACACATTAACTTATACCTAAACTTGTTTCATTCCAGCTAGTTGCCAACATTACTCATTTTCATTTAGTTGAAGTAAGCCTTCTAGAATAACAACAACAACAACAAAAACCCTAAGACTTAAAACTGTTTAGACATAAATAAAAAATAACCATACAAATTACAAAACCAACAAAATTAAAACTTAGGAAAACGAAAATTAAGTCAAAATATTGACAAAAACTAAAATAGTAATGATATTTAGCCTACTAAATATATAAGGGAGACCAGGGAGTGTAATATGGGGTCAGTTGTATGCTAACACTGCAGTTTGACAAGTCAGAAAAGAGCTGTGGTGATGCCATCAATATCATACACTCACATAACTGTTCTGAGGAGTAGTAGCACGTTACTGTGAACAACGTTGTACATTTTACAACAAAAAAAAAAAAAAAAAAATTTTTGGTTGTAAAACAAAAACCAACAACAACTGATTTTCAGGAAGGAAAGTAAAAAATCTGTTTGCTTCAAGAAGTAGTGCACTTTTTTTTAAAAAAAACTTTTGCTGATAATTTACTCACCCCCATGTCATCCAAGATGTCCATTCTTTCTGTCCATGTCACATACCTGTTAAGACAAACGTTTTTTGTGCATTGAGAAATTTGTGTGGTAAATATGTTTCCATCGTAGTTTATGTGCATGTTGCCTATTCTCATCAGAAAAAAACAACAACAACATTTTCTGCCTTTTTTATGTTTCAAAATTATGGGTGGAAACAGTGAGGAAACTTTAAATTGCTTACTTTTTTTAAAAAACAGATTTTTCTTTTTTCTTCAATAGCATTCTTGCATAGATTGTGTGTGTCTTATTTAATCAAATTAGCATAATTCTATCATATATGAATATTATACATTAGGCCTACATTTATCCTCAGCCTGTGTTACAACTTGGGGCTGTAGCCTATAGGCCTAACAACGGAAATCTTTGTGTTTGACATTAGGCCAACCTCACATAATTTGTGATTGTGTTGTAGCCTACATATCGAGTTGTGTTTATAGCTGACAAATTTGGCTATCATACAGTTTTGAGAGATAGCACAAACAGCCAGTGAGTTACCGATGCTCAAACAAAGGTGTTGGTCTCCCCTAATGAACTAGTTCAAGATGAAAGTCTCAGGGTTGCCAGGTTTGGGTAACAAAACCAGTCAATTGCTATGAAACCCCGCCCTAAATTGTGTTCAACCCGCGAACCAAAAGAAGAAGAAATAATAACCCGCTTTAACATTTTGAAAGTTGTTAAATTACGTGGGGAAATCGAGGAGTTTGCAACAAATTGCTGATTAAACGCCAAAATACTAGTCAACTTGTAAGACATGTCCGGTATCAGTAGATGGCAGTGTTGATCAGGCTCAGGGCAAGTGGAAACATCCTCAGTCAGTGCCTTATATATGAGCTATAGCTAATTAGAAAAGCTTGAAAACCTCATAATACTTAGGCCTAAATTTTTATCTATAACATCTGTGTCTATTAATATGTTCTGTGGATGATAATAATGAATTGCCATTATCTCCAACATCCTTGTGCTGCTGTCAAATAATCATGAAATAGCCAATTTTGCTTCTTTGCTTATTCTTACATGCAAATTTTGCATGCAGCTTCTTCTTTGGCTCCTGGCTGATGTGCTGTGATCTTTCTGCTGGAAGTGCAGGTGAGCCTGAGTTCATGACTGCTTCATTGTAGTTGCTCAGTTGCGTACAGACCCGTAAATGATGCTCGGGTTGATCAGTGATGTCTCTGTTAACTAAAGCATGACTGTGTTGGTATGCTGCTTTGCTTCTCGAGACATTCAGAGAGGGTCATCTCTCTCTCTCTCTCTCTCTCTCCCCCTTTCTTTATCTGTCTCTCGCTCTGTTTCTGCTCACTTCCCGTCAATCTATAGCTTTGATGGGGTGCCATGGATCTCTCACACTGGAGGTCTTTTCATTGGGAGCACCTGTCAGGAGGAAGTGGGGAATGGCGGTTTGTTGTTACAGGCTGCAATGGCCAGATGAGGCAGACGTGTGTGTGTGTGTCTATTTGTGCGTGTGTGAATGGAAAGAGATGTCTGCTAGGTGACATGAAGAAAGAGAGGTGAGAAGTAAAGGGGTTTAAGGCTGCTAAAGAGCTCCAGTCAACTTGGACACAGTTTTGCCTCTTGGCAGTTTTGACTGAATTCAACCGACCAAGCAAACACACACATACACACACACACAAACTGTGGTCCAGGGACCCCACAGAGGGCCGCAAGGGAGTGCTAAAATTTGAGAAAAAAACGTGTTAAAAATTAGCAAAAAATGCATAACTAAATAATAAAAAGGATGAACTGTTGTACTAAATTTATTACACTTGAATTACATGACAAAAACTGTAGCAACTTAATCCATTACATTACACATTTAAGGTTTGGGTTTTGTGAAGGAACTGCTGTTTGTGAATTTAATGAAAATCTAATAATGAAATAAATAATTTTAAAAAAATAGATTAAAACCAATAATTTTTAAATAATAAAAAATGTGTTTGAAAGACAAAAGCCTTCCAAAGACATAGCAATATGGTTAAATGACTCCCTGA